CCGCTGGGTGGCACTCGTGGGGGATGCCCTGCTCGTCATTCTTCTCTCCCTGCTTTATATGGCTCATCAATTACAATACAAATTTAGTCAAGAAGCAGGTTAAAGCACAGTGTCATTAACAGTGAAAATATCAAAGTCATAGAGACAGAAAATGGGATCGAGGTAGCCAGGCCTGGGGAGGAGGGTGTTCTTACTTGGTGGATACGGAGTTTTTGTTTGCGGTGATGAAAAATTTTGGAAACAGGAGTGAGTAATGGTTAGGCAACATTGTAAGTGTAAGTAATGACACTAAGTTGTACACTTAACATGATTAAAATGGCAGATCGTATGCTCTTTTTTCTCCACAATAAAAAAATAGAAAAATATAAGAAGAGTGAGACCCAATGCTGAAGATTCTTTCCACCCTGCAGCCCTCCTGGTTTCCTGTTGTCCAGACATGCAAGGGTCCCCACCCCCACTCTCCCCATTTAACAGTTTGTATAATTTGGCAAATGATCCCATGCCCTTTATTAGCGATAAAGACGCCACTTTATGGACTGGTAAATTGATCAATTTCCCGTTTGGCTCATCACCATCATCATTTTCTCCCATCATTAGTCAGAATTCTGATTAATGATTCACAAATATAACTCATTTTATGATCTCTATAGTGAGAACGTAGGGTGGAAGTTGGATCAGCTTTTAAAAAACTTTACTGGAAGCACCAACTATTCCAGAAATAGGTTGTATAGAGACATATGGAGGGTAAAGAGATACCTTACACTGAGCTCTGAATCAGGTTTTTCTTAATTTTATAGAAACTATATTGTTTACTGAGGATTTTTCAGTCTTCCTATTTTAGAAATGAATAATTACCTGCATTGCTATAGGAAAAAAATACGATGATTCTGTACCTTAATTGATAAACATTTTTAATTAATGGTATATCTAAAGATCTCGAGGGTTCATGATTGCTCTGTATCTAAAGTTACCATTTTATAAGTGCGTTAATAAAAATTAAATTACCTTGTCCCCTTCTGAAGGTTTACATTTCTGGGGCCAGGCCAATGGGCCTCCTGCATGCGAAACAGACAACCCAGGACTCACTTTGACCACTTGGTGCCACTGTCATTGTTGGAGAGAAACTGGAACTGCATTCTCAGTTACAAGCAAGCCACACAGAACTACTAAAGATAAAGTCATCTAATATTGCTCCACACAGCTGGGAGTAATCCCCAGGTTGCCTTGACACAGGATCCCTGTTTCTATGAAAAGAAGGCCACCCACCAGCAGGTTTCTGCTGGCAGAGGCGCCTGGCCCACGGCACGGAGGCCAGAGGCCTGTGGGGGCATCTGCACCCTGGAGACTGGGCTCCACAGGGTTATATAAAGGGGGTTTTTCCGAAGAAATGGAAGTTCAAATGCTTTCCCTCAAGTAATTATTATCAGTGACGTTGAGAATACAAAATGAAGGCTTCCTGTTTCTAGTCCAGTTTTCTAATTGCTCACATAAGACGCTCTTTCACAGAATCTTATATTTTTTTAATTTCACTTTCTTACCTTTGAGAGTGCAATTTTGTATATTCAACCTACAGGGTCCTGCACAAACAACACCCCTTTTGTATTACAAACTCTTTCATCACAAAATCATAAGCATGTCATTCTGTAACATAACTATCACACTCAAGCACGCTGTATGACATTTCTGGTGAAAGTCCAAATTAAAACTATAAATTATTACACCCATATTATTACCCTACCAACCATACTCGAGCAGGCCTTGCTTCTGCCGGACGCTGTATAAAATATTCCACTAGACTGAAATTAATTGACTTTTGTTTTTAAGGGTCCTGCTTACATAAATAATATAAGTATTTATATAAATATACCTAAACTATGGAAATTAAAGTCAGAGTGACCCAGCTGAGAGCCGGGCAAAGAGGGGACAGCCAGTGGGGCCAGTGGCGACACCCTGCTGGGGGTCGTGCCAGTCACTTGGCCATGATTCGGGGGGGCGGGGTCCCTCTCCTGCAGCGAACCTGTGCGCACCGGGCCCACTGCCCCTAGGCCGTACCTCCCAGCCCTGGAACTCACCGGGGGCTCTGGCCATCCTCATGGGCCACTAGAGGCACCAGACAAGCTTAGAAGGACTATGTTAATGAGAATTTTTTAGCACTCGCTTGAATGGTGTTTGGCCTCCACTTGGTCAAGCTCATCCATAAACCGTCAACTGGGAAAGAAAAAAACAACTTCCTCCACAGATAAATAAGGTCAAGTGTTTGGCTTCTTAAGAAGAACACATTTTCTAAAATACTAAACCTGCTGTTGAGGTTTGTGATTTGATATATTAATCACAAACACTCCCACTGACTTTTTAAAAAGCTGGAACGCTATTAGTCAATAACTGGCCCTGTTTCAGTTATTAAAGGATCTGAGAATATACAAATTCTATAATTCATACTTTTCACTCAGTCAGACTGGGCTAACCTAATTAGCCCAAAAATGAAGTTGTATTACACCTTTATAAATGGGCACCCATTTTCCTATGCAAATGTTATCTGGTCTATTAACTTCCCCGATGGCAACTACACGCAGTAGCCAGCATTCCTGGGGGTCGCAGAGTAAGGAGGCCAGAGGGAGAGGCGGAGTCTCGCTGGCCGTCAAGGCCGAGGCCGAGCCCTGCACATGCGCCACCCCTCAGAGGCGCACCCGCAGCTACCGAATCAGAAGCAGCTCTTCTCCATTACTCAGAGCTGGTCGGGCTCGGGGGACCGACTCATGTTTGTCCAAACCCACAAGGGGCTGATTCAAAAGCCAGAACGCCAATTTATTAATTTACAATGGGAGATGGGCCTGGCTCAGGGAGCAGGTAGGGTGTTCCCACGTAAAGGACAGCCCCCACAAGGACGGGTCCACCCGTGGGGACCAAATTAAACATCAGAAGGTTGCTGGGTTGGCCAAGATGTAAAGCCAAGGGAGGCAGATTCCCTCAAGAGAAACGTGCACCAGGCGACAGAAGCCTCATTAGGTAGACCGCGCCACTACCTACTCTAAGGGCACAGCTTTCTAAAGCGCCGATCGCCAGTGCGGAGGATCAGAGCAGTGCTGGGCGCACACACTAGCGCGCTCCTAACCCAACAACTCCTGGACTGCGGACGGGGCCCGGTCCTCCACTCCTCCACTCATGCCCATTCTCAGACTGGGCACGTTTTCTTCAGGCACGTAGTTGGCAGGAGACCACACATTCTCGTCACCCGTCTCCTATGAGACGTGTGTAGAAGGAAAATCTGTCATTACCTGTTGGGTGTTACCAGTTTCACCTGCCTTCATTTTAGAACACCAGGCGACCGGATCTGGTTTAACTCTGGTGAAAGCGGGGACTGGCCGATGCAAGCTGGCAGGCCCAGTCCTCCTCGGTCGGTCACAAAGGCTAGAGCTTACGTGGACATACAAGGCTGCGGCCCACCCCCACAGCAGCCCGAGTCTCAAGGTAACATTTCACGCTATGTGGCAGGTAAGTGAGGTTCAGTCCATTGGAGGGACCTTCTGTCTTCATTATTATGATGGTAAAGTACACACACCACCTAAAATTTACCATGTCGGCCATTTCTAGAGTGAGCAATTCATTGGCGTTAAGTACTTCCACGCTGTTGTGCAACCATCACCACCATCCATCTGCAGAATTCTTTTCATCTTTTGTAAAACTGAAACTCTGTGCCCATTACACAACGGCTCCCCCTCCCACTCTCACCTAGGCCCTGGCCGCCACCAGTCTACTTTCTGTCTCTGTGAGGATGACTACGCTCAGGTACCTCATCTATGCAGAATCATCTAGTATAATATTTGTGGTTTTGTGACTGGCTTATTTCACTTAGCACAATGTTTTCGAAGTTCACCCATGTTGAAGCATGTGTCAGAACTTCTTCCTTTTCTAAGGATGGACGGTGTTCCATTGTGTGTATATAGCACATTTTGTTTATCCATTCACCCTTCAGCAAACACTTGTGTTGCCTCCACCTCTTGGTTGTTGTGAATAATGCTGCTATGAACTTGGTGTATAAATACCTGTTTAAGTCCCTGCTTTCAGTTCTTTGGGGGGCAATTACCTAGAAGTGGAATTGCTGGGTTATATAGTAATTCTATTTTTAACTATTTGAGGAACCACCATATTGTTTTCCAGAGCAGCTATACCATTTTACATTCCCAATTTCTCTACATTCTTGCCAACACTTTTTTTTTTTTTTTAAATAGTAGCCACCGTAGTGTGTGTGAGGTGAACTGGGGGGAAACTTTTAAATACATTTCAAAGTACTCATGCACCGAAATTCTAACTCAGGGCTTTAGGATCCTAGATTCCAAAGAGATACACTCATATGTCCTACATCACTGCTGCTCATGCAGGATCCATGAGACAGGTGGGGAGCATTAAATCCATTTAGCAGGACAGTAAACTGAAGCTCTGACCAGCTAAGCAGCCTGCCCAGAGGAGCAGCAAGGCCAGGGCCAGGCTCGCGTGCTCTCACCAGCGCGCTCCCACTGTTCTCTGCAGTGCGACATTCTGAGGACTAGGGCAATGCAAAGAAAAGAGGGAAGAAATCTCTTGGACCAAAACAACGCTAAATACAAACCTGCCGAGCAGAATGCCACCTCAAAGGACCCTAAGGCAGCCAAACTTCTGGAAGGCTGGGTTCTGACCCACGAGGCTGATGACCATGCCTGATCTACTGCCACCTGGCCAGGCCCCGCTTGGCAAGTCCCTGAAGCGCAGGCCCCTGAGTTCCATTACGGTCACTGAGACCAGGAGAGGCACAGGCCCATAGGGCTGACTCAGTGCAGCTGGGTCCCTGGGGATGGTTACCCGAGAGGGAGGATGGGGAGTAAGTGGTTAGAACCCACTTGAGTTGTTAAGTATTCAAATAACAACTCAAATATCTGTTTTCCTACAAACACACACACACACACACACACACACACACACACACACACATTCATATATTCTGGCACAAAATGGCCAGGTGGTACCTGCAGCTGGAGCCAGGCTCTTGGCAGGTTCCTCAGACAATCCAAGGTATTCTCTAATGAGTTGACTCAGCTGTTGGTAGGCAACATTCGGATCATCTGCAGTAAATGAAAGAGTGTACTTTAAAGCAATGGAATCCTACAAAAATACAGTCAATTTGCAACTGTTGATTGCGATGATTCTTTTAGCTCCATTTAATTTTATGAATATTGTGTTAGGCAGAGTTCTAAGAGGCCCCCACCACATGGACAGGACGTGAGAACAGCCTCGAGGACTGAGGACGATCCCTGGCAGATATTCAATGAGGAAACAGTGACCTCAGTCCTACAGCCACAAGTAACTGCATTCAGTCAACAATAGCAATACACTGTGAAGTGGATTTTCCCCCCAGTTATCTTACATTTCAAAAATAAAACTTTGCTGAAAGTTGCCAACCTGCATTGATTACTGCATCAAAATATCCTGGAAATTCCTGATTAATTTTAATATAAAGGTCCACTCTGGAGACAGCAAATTCAACCTCTGCACGACTGAATAATCCTTTTCTCCGTAAGTATTTCTCATATTTTTTCTTGTTCATGGGTACCACCAGGATATATCGAGGCTCAAAATAGGTACATTTCAAACTTCTTACACCCTATCCATTAAAAAAAAAAAAGATAAATTAGAAACAGATACACAATTTGGAAATCATTCTGGAGGTGTCTAACAACATAAGGTATAATAAGTAGCATGACATTGAATAACTTCTTTTATCAATATATTAGCTATTATTGTCCAATAAATATCTCAAGATTGGATTACTTCTCTCTGTTCATCAAATATTAAATTATCATTGCAAATATGTCATTCTACCTGGTATCCTCTAACTACAAATTATAACAGTGGGGAATTATAACCCACCCCACCATTCTTTTGACATTGTTTCTCCAAGCGCTGACTCTAATACATAGCTTGTAGATGGACAGCATGTTTATATAAGAATCCTAGGAACTAACTTCAAAAGATAAAGACTCTGACTGTCAGGCACCCCAGCTCTGGGAGACTTGCTGACCTTCAACTGTAAAACCAGGATGACACACAGCAGACCATCATCTGACCAGTTTCGAGGACCTTATCGGAATGGACTATGTTTGTCTGCGTGTAGACAAACCCCGACCCTTGGTCTCTTTGTTCTGCTTTCCCTCTCCCTCCTTATAAAAATCCCTGTCTGCACCAAAATATAAAGATGGGCTTTGAGATGTGAGTCCTCCCTCTTCTCAGACTGTTGACATCTGAACGAACCTCTTTCCTTTCACCAGCACCTGTCTCCTGAGTTCAGCTTTCACGGTGGCAGGCGGCTGGACCTGCCTTCGGTTACCTAATGAAGCATGCTAATGAACGTGACTCTCAAAAAAGAAAATTGCTAAATACAAATTAAATAAGTTACACTCATGACAGTTGCTGCCTTTTCATTACCAAAAAGTATTTTCTATTCTACATTTCAAAAGGCATCCTCGCAGCAGCAGGACAAAGAGATCTTGTAAGAGAGAAAAGGCCCCTCTGCTACCCTTTTTTCATTTCCTTGGGACACTTCCTGTTCCTCAACCAGCCACCTGGTTGGCTGGTTCCTATTACAGCCTCCAGGGCACGGGAAGGCCAAGCTCATGATACGCAGAGCTTCCAGTGGGAGGCAGGGGCAGGCAGTGGCAACGGTGCGGTGCAGAGCTGGGCGCTGGGTCGAGCCTGCAGCTCTCCAGCTCCCAGAGGCGCTGCACAAACCCTCATGCTGCCTGAGTGCCAGCTTCCTCCCTGGTGGAATGAAAGAGTTAGCCTAAATGGATGACGCTACAGTTCCTTCCAGCTCCGTCCTACTGCCGATAATTCAACTCGGCATTTAAAATCTTTGTTTTAAAAATTCAGGGGAAGAAATACAGGCTCTTTTTTAAAATAAAAATAATTTCTAAGAGTCAATGACAAAGAGCAGTTTGGAAAAATGCTTTTGCTGGAAAGAATCAGGGGAATAAAACCTGATTTATAGATGCAACCTCTTGAAAAGAGGAGAAGAAAGCTCTCAGGGAGGAAAACAGTAAAACATGAGCCAGCACTCAGAGAACTGCTGAACTGGAAACAGGTGAATGCAAGGAACTGGAGGGATTTTGTACTTAAAAAAATGCATCGACTTCTGTTGCTCCCTTGTTCAAGGAAAACATTTTTAGGAGAAGGCCTTTTGTTTCTTATTAGCTTAAAAACATCCTGAAAGATGCAAACCAATCACATGCAGGCAGATAAGGCTTGCAGGATTTTGAAGTTAGGAAAAGTAAAGAGTTAGAAGAAACGTGGCCAGTGTCACTGAAACTAGTGAACACTTGTGCCCAAGCTCAGGGTCAGAAAGGAATCACGGTGGCCTGCTCGGTGAAGTTACAAGGCAAAAGTTTGAAGGAAGAGTTAGTCGATAGTAAAGGAATACTAGATGTGCCCAGATTTGGTTTTCTGTAAGTCTGGGCTAATGGAATCATTTTTATTATAACTTGTTTTTCTGACTACAAAGGTGTTAGTCAGTGAAGGTAACCTGAGAACACAGAAATCAATCGACTTCGATGATTCAGTTACTAGGGCCATCCATTTTTAAACCCATGAGTGGAACATTCATGCTTTTACTTTGCATCTGCATTTTGGAGAAACCTGCGTACCCTCTAATGCAGAAGGCCAGCAGGGGAGACGCGGCAGTGTGGCAGGGCTCCTGAACGCCGCCGGCCCAGCGGGCGGAGAGAGTGCGGATACTGCAAGCAGTGAACATGCCGGGGGGGGGGGTCGGATGGCAGCACCGCTCACACCCCTCCCATGAAGAATGAAAGGACAAGGTCACCTGTCGGAGCTGCCACTGTCTTGAGGGGACTGGGGACCAGCGCCACACCCTATCGGTGAGAATCGGGCTCTATCTAGTATCATTTTATATACACAGAGATCAGGTTCTCAAGCGAGAAAGGATAATTCAGTGAGAAAATAATTTAGAAAATAAACCTTGAATGGCAGTTCTACGCATACATTTATAATGCATTACATTTCTTGTCATCTAATTGTGTCGTTTAATTTTTCACATGTCTCTCCTCCCACATACTATTGGGTTGGCCAAAAAGTCCATTACATTTTTTTTTCTGTAAAATAAGAGACATATTTTTCACTTTCACCAATAAATGTATTGATCTGGATAGTCTGAGTATGCTGGCTGTCTCCCACGATTGGCTTCTAGTGGGCAGAGGCCAGGGGCGCTGCTAAACATCTTCCAATGCATGAGACAGCCCCACAGCAAAGAGTTATTTGGCCAAAATGTCGATAGTACCAAGACACTTTGCAAACCACTTTTGACACGCTCAGTCGGTCACAGCACCTTCTTATACACTGCACAAATCTTTTTTCCCATTTCAGTTGCGTTTTTACCTTTCCTGGAATAAGAAAGCATAATGTGCCAAAAATGTTGCGTACCTTCTTCCACCTTCAGTATCAGGATGGCCGCACAAAAACTGCCCAATTTTGGTAAGTTTTCTTTTAAATGCACCCTGATCTGACAGCTCTTACACAATCTAACAAAATTCTTTCAAATGAAGTTAAAGACAAGGAAGGGCCACTAGAGCCACGGTACAGAAAAAAACTAAACAAACTTTTTGGCCACCCCAGTGGCTATGAGCTTAAACTCCCCGAATTCCTTACGCATTCTCCTTGTGCCTAGCAGTGTGCTGCCCACATTGCAGCCCCTCCCCACCCCAAATAAAAATATACAAACACACGCACGTTAAAAATAAGTGGAGTGAAAAACACTTACTTCTATTTCCATGTGAACACAGCTTGCTAAACCATCTCTTGCAATACTTTCTATCGTGTCCCTATTTAATCCATAACGGTGGTTATTGTAATTATACGTTAGAATGAATTTCCCCTGAAATGTGAGAAGTACAAAGATTTTCATAAAACAGCTGCCATGATGAAATTTAATATAGAGACAATTATTTGATGTCTTTTTTTATATGATTCCATAAAGCGTACAAATGCCACCAGTTATGTAAGAATGACAATGGGTCTATGAACGTTAATAGCAAACTGTGAGAGAGAAATTTATTCAGAATTCTCTGCTGGCAAAAAAAAAATTAGGTTTTTGGAAATAATGGCCTGACAAAGTGTTAGAGGCAAGCGAAGGTACCGGAGCGTCTATAGAACAGGCCATTTTGCACACTTACCCACTTCGTGCCAAACCCGCGCCATAGGCCTTCATTGTAGGAAAACGTAACAGTTTGCCTTCTGCCTCAGCTGTGCTGGCTACACCAGCATAGCAGGCAGCCCAGAAAAGCTTCCATTCTCAAAAGCCTGCATTCCCAGACAAGCCTGAAGGCCATGAATTATAGGCACATCCTAAAACCTTTGCATTCTGAGATAAGCCATGAGAAACAGACCTGCCCTGTTTTCCTTAGTAAAGGTGGCTTTTTACTGAAACTGCCCACAGAACTGTTGTGCGCCCTACAGCCCTTTGAAGAATAAACACTACCTTCGGCCAGTATTCCAGCAGTCCGGCTCTACCCAAGCCGCACGCCCTTGGAGGGGGACGGGGAGCAAGGAAAACACATCTCTCAAAATTGTCTGACGTCATCTCTGACAGTCTTCTAGTGATGAAACCACTAGGTCTCATAACTAAATTAAATCTAAACTGGGAGGCTGGTGACAACAGAAGGAATAAAAACGTGGGCAACGCTGATGGCTCCTGCACGTGGTTGTGAAATAAATAGTGGAGGGGAGCTCCCCGGGCTGAACCCCGGCAACGGCAGCACCTTCAGTCCGCACGGCACAGTGAGGGTGTCACTCAGGGTCGGGGGGCGGGCCCTGGAGGGGGCAGCGCGTGTTTGCTGCCGAAGAGGAGGAAAACCCACGCCCCCACACAGTCAAAAGAAGTTTATGTCATACCTCCTAAAAGTTAAAAACTCAGCAATACATATCCTTAATCATTTACTCCCTCAGTCATGCCCTCTGTGCTCTGTGGAACAAGTGCTGACTCCTTTTCTTTTAATCTGTGAATTATATCCAGATTGATAGATCCATCCATCCATCCATCCATCCATCATCCATCATCCATCCATATCTGAATTTTCTGTAAGTGTACTGTATCCTGTTTCCTGTGACTCGCCCTGTTTTCAAATGTACACTTGAAGTGGTTTTAAAATACATATTATGGTTTGTTTACTTGTGGGGACCAGGGCCTTCCTCTGTGAATCCAATATTTTCTGGAAGGACGTAGGGTTGGGAGGACTCTCACATCGTACTTATGTATATGAAACAGGCTCTGCTCATGTTTGTTTTAAGGATTAAGCGATTTCCAGCTTCTGGCTAGTGATACTCCTTTCATTTCTCCTTGTCTGTGAATTTCTTCATAAATAGCAATATCCGCATTTCAGGAGCCTTGAGGCCTGTGGTCTCGTTTCCACAAGAGGGGCAGGAGGTGAGTGAGAGCGTGCCTGTCCTTAAGAAGGGTCTGTGCGTCTGTGGGCACGCTGGGGGCTGCTCTGTGCGTCGGGAAGGTGTGTACGCAGGAGGGTGTGTGGGGGTGGGGTACGCCAGGGTTGTCTGTCAGGGCTCCTGTAAGTGGGGGGTGGGTGTTCTGCAGAGGGAGGTTCAGCGTACAGAGGCTGAGTAAGTGGACGTGATCGGCAAAGTTGACATTACGTTGTGAGTTCACAGCCTCCAGGTTTCTCTCTCTTCATAAAACAGTCTCAAGCTCACTTCAAAGAAAAGCGAAGGACATCCGAAGCGAAGCTGAAGTTGAAGCAAATAACATTATACTGAAGTGATACGTGTTAGCAGAAGAGGTAAAAATGAGTAATTCTCAAAGGCATACAGATCTCTGTAGCGGGACTAAACCTAGAAGACTAAATACAGTGTGGAGGTACGCGGATTCCTTCAGCGCGGAGCTGCAGCAGATTTGATTACAGATGTGACAAGGTGTGGAAACCAGCGGAGCTGTGGGCCCTGGGAACAAGTGCACCGGACCAGGACAAAATGCCTCAGACTCTAACACGAGAAAGCAACATTAATTTTGGGAACTAGTTGTCTTTCAACCCAAAAAGTCTTAAGAGAATGCTTCTTACTAATGACAAGATAACTCCTCAAGTCTCCATTAAAGCTTTTAGAAATATGAAGTCCCAGAGTACTCTTCATACATTAAACTGAACTGTCAAAATGGAGCCCTAGGAGAGGAAATTATAAACAATTTCTGAGACGTGTTTTTGACAAGGTCAGAGGGGAAATGGCCTAGGGAATAAGCCTTTCTCACATGGCCTCCTCTGCAAATATAACAGAAAACATGCACCATGTGTAAAGTTGGTCATTCAAACTGAAACTCAGAAACTGCAGAGTCTACGCTGAAATGTTCCCTGGTTATGTGCACTGAGGTATCAGCCAGGCTCATTATTTGGGGTTGGGGAGGGGACACAAAACGGAAGGAGGAAGGAGAAGAGGGGAGGGGAGGAAATGTGTAGTTACACGAGCATCACTGGTTGTGTGGGGATCTTTCAAAAGCAGAAACATAGAGTCACTCTTAATCTGGTCCTTTGATAGGTTTCAGGGAAAACACAGTGGTGCAGGAGTCATTTGGTGATGGAAAGAACGATCAGATAAACAAAATGAAGGCCCTTGCTGAAGAGAACATAAAAGGCTTACAGATTCATTGGCAGTAATGAAGATATGAAGTCATGGGTGGATATGTATTGACATTAGCATGTACTTTTGGCAGATAAAACTAGGGTTGTGACGATTCTCTTTGCAGGTGAAGGTCAAGAAAGAATAAATAATCTTTGAGAAAAGGAACTCAACGAGGATGTCGTGAATTGCTACCAATGAGATTATCAGGGTTTCAGGGAAAAAAAAATTGAGTCAAATTGCCCAGAGCTCCGATGAAACAGACCAATGCAGGGTAGTTGGCTTCACATTGTAAAGACACAGACCTCAAAGAAGCCGAGAACCTTCCCTGGTCTGACAGCAAGGGCTTCCCGTGCACTGGGGAATTGCCTGGCCCCCGAGACTCAGGGCTTCCCGGACAGGGATGTCACAGCAGACGGTTAGGGCTGAATGTGTGTCCGGGACCAGACAGCTGAATGGAACACACCATGACAGAATGGTGCTCAAGGGCATGATAATCCGGAAGCACCACTGATGGCCAGTAAAAGGCGGGGTCTCTGGACAGAACACTCCGAGCCCCAGAATGCTCGGTTCACAAGCATCACGCGTCGCATTGCGTCTGTCTTAAGTAAAATCTGCTTAATAACAGGAGCACCGGATCAACACAAGGCACAAGATTCTTTCACTTCTATTCTCTTCAAACGTCTACTCATTCAATCTGACTGAAAATTTACAATATTTTCTCCAAGATCATAGAGTAAAAGCAGCATGTGAACAAGGATGTATTAAGTGGATTATGGAAAAACAACCCAGTGAGAACACATCTCTCATAACAAACACAAAGTTCAGTTGTTCTCTTTTTTTATCCCTCTTTCCTAATATTTCTACCAGAAAACATGTATTTCTTGTGCAATAAAATAAAGGAGAACATTCTTACCATGTTTACCATTTCATTAAAAACTTCTTGTGAGATAAAATGGTAGTCAACTCGGTCCCCTTCTCCAAAGTAAGGGGGTCTTGTGGTGTGACCGGCCCTGAAAACATAAAATCGATAATCTAGTCCACATCTAGTTACTTGAAATTCAAATGGAAATGAGTCCAGTATAAAGTATATTTGAAAAAACTGACAGTGATCCATAAATTATAAACGATGAAGTCACGTAACGGTGAGACCTGTGTGGTTTTGAAATGCTGGACTAGATTCAGCTGCTTTGCTCTAGGGCTGAATCAAAGTCTGCATTATCAACATCAGTATTTTTATTCGCTGTTATTTATGACCTTCTGAACCAGCTCCTCTGCCATCACAAAATGGTACTTTGGGAAGTATAACAATATTTATTACTTACATATTGTCCACCAGAGTGTTTCCTTGTTGTCTCTAATCTATAAGCATTTCCTACCTGTTCCTCTCCCACCCCACCCCCGCCCCCCGCCGGCCAGCCCACTGGTCTTTCAGGACTCAGTGTAAGCGTCCTTCTCGCCCCCAGCTTTCTCAACCCCTTGTCACTGGACTGGGCACCTCTTCTTTACACGTTCGTCACCTCAGTGCCTGCATCAGCTGCATCCCAGGTCCGTGTCCTGACCCACGTCCTCTGCTGCTCAGGACGAAGTGAGCTCGTCGCACCGAGCCCCAGGGCTTGTCAACACTAGGTGCGGCCCGCCTCTGGGCATCCATGATTCTGGGGCTGGCAGAGCCTTTTCTGACCACTGTCTGAAACAGCATCGCAACTCCGCACTCCCACACCCCGAGTTATTCTCCATTACCAAAACACTTTCTTTTACCTACGTATCTCGTTTTTTCCTATCCTCCCCAGCAGGGCACGTGAACAATGGGGGGAAGACTTTATCTTATTCATCTTGCTCACTACTGCATTCCCAATGTCTGGTCCATAGTAGGCACGCCCTAAGTATTTGTAACATGAATGATGAAGTGAAACATGAAGCAGGCAACAGCGACAATGAACCCCGTTTTATAAATGACTATAAAGTGACTTGTCCAAGCTGGCCAGTGTGGGTCCCACGGCTGGCCATGGGGGTCCCAACTAGCCCAGGACTCTTGATTTCAGACTATTCTGACTTGTTGATGTTAAGTTCTGGGAATGCAAACAGATTTTTAGTTTTAAAATAGGATATGAGAATACAGCATTGTTTATATTTTACGGATGATGGAACTGAGACACAGCAATTAAGTGACACGACTGAGTGGCAAGGCCAGGATGATTCCAGCGTCAATTCCTTTTCATATCAAACTGGGAGGGTAAAGTTGCAACCTCAAAAGCTTCTCCATTACAAAGTCAAAGACAAATTTCTATAATTCACACCACTGTTCATCTTCCCCTAAAATCAAGAATTAACTGCATGAGCAAATGTTAAGGTCTTCACATCACCTTTAAATTGTATACTCAGGAAAGAGAGGACATTCAAAGAGAAGACCGTCAAATCATCGCGACACTTGTTTCGTTGTTTCAATACAGTGGCATTTCTCCACACACCTCGGCAGGGACCTGGGACCCTTGTCTACTAGTGTCCTTGACAGTTGGGAAAGACAAATCAGTGATTCGGCATCACACCCTCAGGATAGCTTTTACACAGCGCGCTGACTTTGCACGCCCAGCAAAGAAATGGAGTGGCAGGAATTGTTTCAGAATTTGTTAAGAGGAAGGCAGGCAAAGAAGCAGTTGGAGCTTCCAGGCAGGTAAATGAAGAGCTGGCTTCATTGACGTGGAGGAGGCTGATGACAGAATCTGCAGCTGCTGCAGGACTTGCTGTTGAGAAAGACCTACGGTGACCTGAGGTTTTTTGAATCTGTCATCCAATATTCATCTGTAGAAACATTCACTATGAAGTGTGCTGCCCAAATAGAGATACGTTAAAAAAAAAACAACAAAAAACCCAAAGACTTCATAGTGAAGGCAACGTTTCACTACGTTTACTCAGAAAAAAACAATGCCAAATTTTATACAAAGAAATTTGCTTTGGCCATCATCTTTGACATCCTCCATCTCCCCCGTAAATATAATTTCAATCATAACTTAAATTCCCATGAGTTCATCATTTTACTAATTAATTTACTCATTAAATCATGTTCAATGAGTCAAATCGTGGTTGATAATGGGAGCCATACTCCCTGTCACTTTCACTCAACAGACAAAAGAACTGAGTTAGAGTTTATCTCTGGGCTACACCACCAGCCCTAAGAGTCTAAGGGTCAGTTAGACAGTCTGAAGCCCAATTCATTGGCCAGCTGTCATCCGGGATCCTAACAAAGCAAGTACCTGTGAGGAGGAGCTGAGGGGAGGGAAAGAAATCCAGAAGGCCAGGTCAAATACCAGATGCTCAAATACCCAAGGAAATGTGATGGGAACAAAAAGATATCTACGAAGAGCTAGTAGGTGGATGAGGAAGTAGGAATTTTGCCAGTGTGCTTCAGAAGCCTACAGATTTAGAATCTCAACTCCGGACCATGCTGTCTCAGGAAACAATAAATTCCTTGTGGCTGCAAATACTTAGGCAGAGGCTTGGCTGTGAGTGCCTCTGATTCAAACAGATTATAGCACGCCATACTGTTAGTAAGGGAACTCTTTATATGTGTAGCCACATAAAACCCCGGGATTCCTAGGGCATGCGGTAGGCAAACTAAATTGTTCCTAATGCTCAGTGCAAATTGTATGCCATTGAACTTCTGGACACAATTTAAGAGATCAGCAACACAGAAGATTCCGGCACACCCCACATCTGAGTACCAAATTCACATCGCTTTCTAACTCACACCATCAGCCCCTGTCACTATATCCTAACTGGTCTCCTAGTCTCCAGCCTTCCCTCCCCAAGTCCTCTCCCAAATGGCATGCCATGCGGCAGCGTGTGCCTTCTAAATGGAGCTGTGACCACGACAGTCCCCTGCTCAGAGACCCTTTAGGATCAGGGGCTGTCTTTCCAGTCGTATCTTCTGCCATCTCTCTTCATACTTCACGGTTAGCCTGTCTGCCGAGTGCACTTTCAATTAACGCGGTGCGCCTGCTCGTTCTCTCTGGCCTACGACCCCTGTTTGAGCGCCACATCCCATTTGATTTCTTCTGTCTCAGAGACGTTTACTGCCCTCATCACAGTGCCCATCAAACCAGTCTCTTGTTAGACAGCACTTTCCTAGGTATTAGATTGCATGCTGCCAGGAGGACAGGACTCATAGGACCCATGTTTGTTGTTTCACAGTTTTATCACCAGCACAAGGCACATGGATGATGCTCGGTAAACACTGACTGAATGGCTAAATGAACCATTCTAGTTAACCACGTCTGGATAAACAGATTGGACTAGACTGCATTCGGTAGCTGTGGCTCATACCAGCTCATTTAGCGAGATGGCTGTGGTATTTTACTTTGCTCCATTACAGTGTTAAAAGTAAAATATATTTAGCAGTCGACATCATGCAAAAGGTTATGAAAATTGCAAGTCCTCTAAAATAGAGATCTAAGGAAGAACGCAGTTTTTCTTTCACGACTATTCAGATCACTTGAATGGTCTTAAATCAAGGACATGAACAGGCAGGCGGGTATTGTTTTGTTTTTCCCTCACCGTTCAGCCCTCTTGCAGGAAGCCACTGATCTGGGAGGTAACATTAAGGTTGGAAATGGAGAGACTCTGAAGGCAGCAAATCCGTATTTGCAGCCCACTAATAATACATGCAAAGAACATCCACCCTACTTCTAAAAACCAAGAACAAACAGTAAATTCAAAGCTAAGACAAGAGCATAATCTTTCGACCACACCGATATTTGTTATACCACCAGTTATGTTTTCAATATTTATATATCTGGGTATGCAGTTTAACACATAAAAACTTCATAGAATACTGTGGTCTTGAGTCAGTGCACTTTAAAAAGGAAGAAAAAATACCGGGAAAAAAATAGGAGCACAAGATGTACGCAAATGACAGAGGAGGTGCCTTTGTAAATGCTTATATTCCATGATGAGACTGTATTCATGCACTTTTTCCTTTTCATTTAATTAAAAATCAATAAATTCCATTTGGACAAAGGATAAAGCAGGCCTCCACTCCACTTGCCCACCCCGGCTGTGCTGGGCCCCTTGGGCACCAGGAGCCGCAGCAGGTGGCCGCCGCACCCGGCAAGGGTCAGCGCCCAAGGCTCTGCCCTGCTGCCCAGCGGCGCCCGCCAACAGCGGACTCCGCAGTGCTCCCGCCACGACGCTGACCAGCAGTGCTGCCTGCCCGCACCCAGAGTGCTGGGAGCTCAATGACCCTAAAGAGCTCCCTGAGGAGCGCAGGGAGTCCTGCGCACTTGGCCTCCCCAGTTCCGGAGGGGTCTCGCAGACCCAAGGACAGACTGGCCCAGCAGCCAACTGTTGGAGTCACACAGCGGAACACCCTCGCCCAAGTTCTTGGGGAAGGCAGAGACAACTTTGCACATGCGCTGTGGCAGTCCTCTTCAAGTGGGAAGGAAGGAAACGTCTCATCCTAGAAGAAATCCTAGTCTGCCAGCTGGATATATTTTGCGCTTCCAAGAGGTGGACCACTATTTTGACACCTCCCAACCGCTTCTCAGCAGACTGGGCTATGAAGGCACTTTTTTCCCCCACTCCCTGGTCACCTTGTTGGGATGTAGAACTTAACAATGGACCAGACGGCCGTGCCTTCTTTTTCCTCCAGAACCGATTCAAGTTGGACCACAGTGCCAATGTTAGGCTGACGGCCATGACGTTGACAACCAACCACGTGGCCATTGGACAGACCCTAGACAGTAAGGGGTCCGGTCGACAGTTCCGCATCACTGTCAACCACTTAAAAGCACATACAGGCTGGGCACAGGTTCGATCAGCTCAAGGCTGCGACCTTATCCAGAACCTGCAGAACATCACCCAAGCAACCAAGATTCCCCCTGTTGTTTGTGGGGACTTCAATGCAGAGCCAGCAGAGCAGGTCTGCAAACACGTTGCTTCCTCCAGCCTCATCCTGAACGGCGCCCACACGCTGCCAGGTTCTGATGGGCAGTCGGAACCTCCAGATACCACCTGGAGGACAAGGACCTCAGGGGAGTGCCGGCACACCCGGGACTACACCTGAATTCTAACACGCTCCAAGTGTGAGGTCAGCTCTTGACTCGCTCACTGAAGAGGAGACCGGGCCCAACCGGCTACCATCCTTCCGTTCCCCTTCAGACCACCTGTCTCCAGTGTGTGACTTCCGCTTTAATGAGGAACCTGGTGGACTTGTATAAATGCTTATCTGTGTCTTTTTCATCACAGAGCCTTAAGCAGGGATGTTTCAGGAAACTGAAAAAGGATGGAAGTTGCCTGAGGATGCAGTTTCTCTCACTTCACTTCACTTCCCACTCTCCCAGCATGTCCTTGGGAAGGAATCCCACTGGTTCACAAACCCTTCCCTCTGAAACCTACAGTGAAAAAGGTATGCACACTCCAGTTTGCTTAGCATTGTTTTCTTTCCCTTAGCATTACGCTTAGATCAATTAAGGGCATTAAATTATGCTTGTTACTGAGCCTTCAGTTTGATGATGCTACATAAAAACACTTTCTCGAATCCATAATTAACACGTATGCAAGAGCAATTTCTCTTGACAGTGTTTCACGTTATTTATTTGTGGTTTTAAATGTCAACAAGATATGCATGGCAATTTTTATTTTTTGTATCTTTGTGTAAAATCGGTAAATTTTAGCATTTAAACAGTTTAAAACCATGCAAAACATAAGTTATAGAGTAATTTAGAGTAATTTCCTTAAGTCTTTAAGATGTTTTCATTTGGTATCTAATGAAATAGTGGTATACAAAGGAACTACTTAGCCTGGGGGCCCCTGGGTTTTCTTTGTCTTATAAGTGGAAATATCAAGTCTCCATGATAAGTTCCTCAAATAATTCTTGCTGTGCTTTCTTGTTCTCTTATTGTATTTCTTGAAGATTCGATGGGCAGCCAGACTTTGTTATTTAATTGCTGTTATGCGTTTATAGTTTTCCATTGAAATGTTATTGTGTACCTTTGAGGTCACTCAACATCATCATTATTTGTATTTGAATGTGCTTTTCACAGCAGGTTATTCAGGAGCCGTTATGTGGCAGTGGCTGGGGAAGTCAGTGGGACCTTCCTTTCAGGGATGGGGGACTAAACGCCTGTTCATGAGGCTGTCACTGCAATTTCCTAAGATAGCAGGGGACTGCCTCAAAGCATCTAGAAAGAACGTAAAAAGAAAGATAACCTGGATTCTCTTTCATCAGAAAAAGAAGTGGTAAAGGTAACAGGTTGGACCCCTTCCAAACAAAATCCCAACAAAAAACCTATTGGTAATAAATTGATAAATATTTTAATCCATGAGTTGTATATATATTTAAGATTAATAGTCTTTTAAAACTTATTTAAAAAATAAAAAATAAATTAAAAAAGAAAATAAAATCTAAAGAAGAGCAATGACCTGCCCCTGATGTGTTTTGGATTTATTATTTGTTGTAATTAGAAAGTTGCCGCATGTAATAGTAATGACTCTTATTTTCTCAATGGATGGAATTACTCGCCATCTAATTCCCTTCTTTTTATCCACTAACAGTGTTTGATTAATTCCTTGATGGAATCCGTAGAGTGATTTGCCATTGAACACGCCCTGATCTCTGTCCCCAGAGGATGCTGGTGAATGGCTGGCCGATGCTCTGAACCAGTCGGAGGCCCACTAATTCCATCCGGAGGAGAAAACTAGCAGTGGCAGCAGTAACAGCACAGAAGCATGAAGTCAACCTTAGGACTTCTGTCCTGCTCTTTGGCCTCCACACAAATTACACACGACACCATGGAAGGTTTGAGTTCCCTAGTAGATTATAAATTTCAGTAGGAAATGCACCTTACCCATCTTGTGCCCACTGTACCTTCAGAACCTAGCACATGGGAGGAACTCAGTAAATATTTATTAAAAGAATAGATGAACAAATGAATAAATCCTTTCATCTTTCCACTTATCCACCAGTGCAGGCACAGGAAAACCACCGATGCTTCTTACCGCAGTCATTTCCCACTAAGTGTTGCAGATACTACCATTCATTCATTCATCCATTCGCCCACTCGGTCAGCAGCCATTCCACTGACAAATATCTGTCATGCATCTATGAAGCACCTGGCTGTCTGCTGGGCACTGAGAACTCAATGGTGAGCAGCAATGACATTGGTCCCTACCCTCATCGTGCTTACAGACAGGCAGGGAAAACAGACATTAAATAAATCAATCAGAAGCGTGATGAATAAAACTCTAATAGGGGAAATACAGGATTTAATGAAAATGAATAATTGTGTGTGTTGGGGAGGGCGGAGGGGTTGGCTATCCCGGTGAGAACGTAAAGGCAGAGGGGGCCAGAATCTTGGTCATGAGCTAATGAACATGTCCAAGGGCACATCGGGCCGAGCATGTCTCAGCCGCGCACACCACAAATGAATACGAAGGACAGGGCCGCCAACCATTTGAAGCGTAATTGGTACCCAAAATGAAAAAGGAATTCTAATCGGAGAAGGTCCCGGTCCCCTTCACTTGGCTTTCTCAAAGGTCCCAGGCTTACACGCTAGCACAACAGCCAGGCCCCGTCCATTTGCCCCGGGCTGACCTTCCGTCCTTTGTGTTCCTGCTCACCCTTCCCGACAGGCCCAGTGCCCTCCGATGAGCATAGCGGCAGGCTATACATTTTTGTTCTAATATTAGGTTTTAATTTATTTTTGTTACTTCAGGGCACTGAAAATGCATTAATGAGTAGATTATTCTTCAGTATTTGTATTCTAAGGTTGCTTAAATGAGGAATGCAATTTTAGATATCTAAATAAATGGACCTGTTTAAAGAAGTATTTACGGTGTTTGAGCACGCATGGCTTACGGGGAAAGCTTCCCTGTAACAGCATTAGAAAATAATTTGCATTTATTTCTCTTGCTGTCCTATACATCTTTGCAGTCACATCCTCAGCTCACTGACAAATACCACTAATCTAAAAGTAATTTCTTTGCCACATAAATAAATAAAAACGGACACCAGTTTACAAGACCACAGCGATCCTTCTACATCTGACTCTCAGAAACTTTTCCTAAATCTGTAGACCCAGCTGAAGGTTTCTGTAGGACGTGGTTCTCGTTTTTTTTTGGTGTTTTTTTTTTTTTGACATTTCTCTATTTTATCTGGATCATTAGAGCATCACATGGCAAAATATGTTTCAAAAAACTAACAGTGTGTTGAGTGCTAACCTGAGGGAAAGGGAAGAAGAGGCTTCTACTGCTCCTTGTCTGTGCTTCCTCCTGAAAATATGCCTCAAAAAGGGGAGGCCCAGTGTGCAGAGGAAGCAGCTGAGCGCTGCCCGCCTGGGTTTCAGCCCAGGCAGGGAGAGGCTGCGCATCACCAAGCCCCTGGCGCACAGGTCTGCCCACCGCACCTCACAACGCTGTGATCTGTGCTGCCAACCACACGGTGACAGGACGAGCCCGCGTTCCTACGCCACTATGCTTAATTAAAAACACACATATTTCCAAACCTTGGAGGGTGGTTTCGGCTGTCACTAATTAAAGTTAAACATTTGGAGGATTAAAGTAAAAAAAAAAAAAATACAGTGTATATCACAACGCAATACATAGTGAAGAAGCAGATAAGCCTTCTATGTACAAGTTTGAACTTGCTTAAAATGAAGAGCCAAACTCAGCAGTATCCACCCTTGTGCAGTCTTCCCAGCCAATAACACACTTACCCGTATCTGAAGTAGGCGCTAAACTGCCTGCAGAGGCGGTAGGCGAGCTCCCGTTTGCCACAGGCTTCTGGGCCAGCTAACACCAGCACGGGGTAGGGCGCGTCCAGGCTGGGCAGGGTGCTGCAACGCAAGGCAGAGTCAGTGCCGGCCTCGGGGGCAGCGCTGGCCGCGGGACTCGCGGGGGGTCTGCGTCACAGTCGCTATGAATGCAGTAAGTAGCCAAGCACTTGCGACAGGTAGGCCCTGCATAGCAGGCTGGCCTTACTTCCAGAAGCAAGCTCATTACCATACGATGCCAAAAATAATATTCACAGCACGGATAACACGTCAACTCCCAATCTATGTAAATTTAACGGAATGGTGCTTTTAAAAGAAAATATATGGGAAGGTATATTAACTCTTGGCCGATGAAGTAGTCCCCCAACAATTTCACAATGCAAGCAGCAAGGCTCTCCTCTGAGAGTTAAACCCTAACACCTACACCTATTAAATTAGGACACCGATATGCAGAGAAACGGGAATAACTGAAATTTCCCTGGGCAGTTACTATGATCCACACACTACTTCTAGGAGTTTTACAAGTATTACCTCGTTTACTCATCACAGGACGCTAATGAAGACATTTCCATCATCATCGCCATTTAACACGTGAAGACTGAAATACTAAGAGGTTAACTTGTTCAGAATAACAGCTAATAAATGAGAGCTGATGTATAAACCTAGGCATGGCTCCTGGGCCTGAGAAACTCACAAATGAGTTTATTACTAAAATCTCCTGCAACACGCAGAGCTCAAGTGCGGGACCCGACTGACAATGACACTGTCACAGAATAAAGGTCAAGCTTTAAATAAATAGAGGGCCGGGGTGTGCATTCCATAATGAATGGGGGCGGGGGCAGCATAATTTTTCAATCTCTCTGAACACCCACGTAAACACAGAAAAACTCGAGCGCAAGAGCCCAGGGGAAACACGTGTGTCAACCCTGGTGATGAGGTACCGCCATGAACCAGATCTGTGCAGGAGGAGGAAGCCCTGGGGCAGCACCTGCCGGGCCTGAGGACAAGGGGAGCCCAGCCAGCCGATGGGCACCGCTGGGAGCAGGCAGGCTGCAATGGAACGAGCAAAACCCTGCGCGCGGTGGGTCCCGGCAGCCGTGCGTGCAGTGGCCAGAAATTGGAATCAGCCTAGAGAACCCTCAAAGTAACTGCCGTGCGTCCCCACCAAGGAGCGCCGCTCACAGCCGAAAGGGACACATCCACAACTTGGATGGATCCCACGGAATGAGGCTAAGAGGGGAAAAAAAGGCCAATCCCAAAGGTTATGTGCTGTATCATTCCGTTTCTATGACATTCGTGAAATGACAACATCGTATCCATGGGGAACAGATTATTGGTTGCTAGAGAGGAAACAGGAGAGCGAGGGAAGTGGCTGTGGTTATAAAAGGGAAGCACAGAGACCCTTGTGATAAAACTCTTCTGCAAGTGACTGCAGTGCTGCTCGTATGAATCTACATGTGAGATGTAGCACAGAACTAAACGCATGCGTGAGCACAGGCGGGGGGCGGGAGGGGGCGGGGTTCCGGTCGGGCTGGTGAGCTGCGGTGGCGCCACCAGCTCTCTGGCTCTGACGTTCTACTGTGGCTGCGCAAGATGTTAGCACTGGGGAAAACTGGGAAAGATACGCAGGATTCCTTCATCTGTCTTCCACGTGCACCTGAGTCTAAAATTATCTCAAAATAATTCTTTAATGACTCAAGAGAAGACAAATTTGAGAAAGTGACAAATATTGAAAATAGGCATATGAGATCTTTCTGAAGAAGAAAGCCAAAGCGAAGGAACAGAACAACTATTAAGTCTGTAATTTAAAAAAAGCTATCCTGAAATAAAAAATTAAACATCACTATATATTGTAAAAGAACACACAACATACCTGAGAATATTAGCCCAGAATGACAAATACTAAGATACAGCCTAGTGAAATGACAATTTAAAAGAAAAAACCTTGTTCGGCTAGAAAAAGAGTACATATGATTTATGAGAGACAGAAAATCAAATCATTATCAGATTTGTGACAGCAACATTTTGCATTAAACAAATGAAGTAACATCTTTAATATATTCAAGGAAAAAAGTATGAGCCATGGACTTTATATACTATAGCAAAAATGACTTTCAACATAAAGGGTAGAGAATATCATCAGTGAAAGATACTGGTCCCATAGACTTTCCTACAGAATCTACTAGAGGACAAGCTTCCTACAATCAAAATGACTCAAGAGACATCAATATAAGGCCTGGAAGTGAGCGATAAATATGCAGTTATCCACAGAACCAAGATTCAATGACAGCAAAGGAGAGCATGCAGTGCGTGATGGATATATGTTCTGACAATATAAGTAGAGTAAACTATTTTTAAAATGGGGTGATTGACACTTAAATAAAAGATATACAATAGGCAACTTCACAGAGATAGAAAGTGGATGAGAAGGTACCAGGGACTGGGAGTAGCAGGGAGTGGGGGCTACTGTTACAGAGATTCTGTCTGGAGCTACAGTTTTGAAAATAGATGGTGATGATGGTTGCACAACGTTGTGAATATGATTAATGTCACCAAACTGTACAATTTAAAATAGTTAAAATAGCAATGTTTATGTCATATGTATTTTACCATAATGAAAATGGTGTTCGGGGGCTGGGAGCGGGGAGCGGGGGGCGGCTTTAATGGGAAAAGCATAAGCAAAAGGTTTCCAGTGCTTTCTGCAATCATGCTGATGCTGCTGTTGGTACTCTGATGTTGTTGCGGTACAACGCGGGATTTTAAAACAAGGGTAAGTATGAGATATTCTACTTCCATCCTCTGTGTCCTTGGAGTGGGAGACAAGGAGATGAAGGTGTCACAGAGAAGGGGTTAAGTAAAAGCTCAGCCGTAGTCTTGAAATTGAATTGCAAGTATCAGTATGAATTGAGGAGGTATTTTATCATCTATCTGTAGATTAATATGGATAGGTCTGTCTAGATATAGATTAGATAGATATAAACAGATTAGATATATGTAGATAGTAATAGACAGGTACAAATAGGATAGACATCTGAATACGTGATTGGAAGGAAGGAAATAAATAACTGTATTCCTAGTTCTGTCCACTACAAGGACTAGAAACAATACCCAACCTGATAGGAATGAGTATCTCTAGCACTCAGATTGGGTTTGGAAAATACCATTTCTCACTAAAACAAACAAGGGAGGGTGTCTTGGAGAAATGGATGATTCCAAAGTTCAAACAAGCCTTGTACAAGATGAGCCTTTAGAATCTTGCCATTCCAAAGAGCAAGAAACTATCGATGACTACCAGGCCAGGGTCAACATTCTGCTGGGTCATTTTTAAAAATTAATTTTAAAGAGAGAGAGGAAAGGAGGGGGAGAGAGAAACATTGATTTGTTGTTCCACTGATTTATGCATTCATTGGGTGACTCTTGTATGTGCCCTGGCTGGGGGTTGAACCCACAACCTTGGCATATAGGGATGATGCTCTAATCAACTGAGCTACCAGCCAGGTCCTGCGTCATTTTAATATTGTATCTAGTCACAGCAGGAGAGGGAACAGTGACTTCCCCCAAAAGTGCAACATGAAAGTACCAAGGTCAAGAGTCAGGGATTGTTTTCCGGGGCTGCCGGAGAGCGGTGAGCTGGCCAGGGTGGGGTGGACAATGACAAGCCTGCTCGTGCCCCCAAGACTTCCTCACAATGAACACTGCTCCACCCAGGAGTATCTGGGGCTGCTTGGCCATTTGTTCTTATCTGGCTCAGCAGCCAGAAATGATCATGAAATATGTGTTTACCAAACACTGCCGTAAATTTCTTTGATACATATTTTTATATGAATGTACCCTAAAGCATGAAACAAGTAGCAATCTTCATAAACTAAAAAAGAAATACAATGAGGACATAAATGTTCTTTTTTAAAAACAATAAAATGTGCTTTTCCAGATATATGCAAATAAATGATAAATCATTTCACCCAGAGGGCTACCATAAATATATAAAGCTGTCATTGTCTGTATTATTAAATTACATGTAAAAAATCATGTCCTGGATGCAAAATAAAACATTTTGCTCCCTGTGGGAAACCAACCATGTGACATACAGGAGCAAATATCACATGAAGAAGAGAAGCCATTTATAACCAAGAGATCTTACAAGAATTTTTAAAATGCCTTTGGGTATTGATAGAATTTCTGCATTACACTTATAGCATAAATGGCCATCTGCTCCGACAGACTGTTTAAAAAGAAAAGGAGAACCTGTGGTAAATCAGTCTTCGAACTTTGAGGTGAGAGACTATTCATGTGTTCAACCAAGCTGAGCGACTGCTCCGAGTGCAATCACCAGAAAAGACTTCCATTTTCCCTCGGGCTAGCTGGGCCTCCTCCTAGGGGGTCTCTGATAATCTGCATTTACGAGAGCTCTTCCGCAGGGGTGTCTAGCTCCCACTCACAGCTAAGGAGGAATTTACAACGGACAGAAATGATCACAATCGTCTGTGGCTCTATCCTGCAGCAAAAAAAAAAGAAACCAACAAACTGCCTTGGCTGGTGGGGCCCTGTGGGTTGGGCATTGGCTCGTGAACCGAAGGGTTGCCAGTTTGATTCCTAGCCAGGACACTTGCCTGGGTTGCAGGCCAGGGTCCCGGTCGGGGGCGGTGTGCGAGGCAAATCGATCAATGTGTCTCACACATTGATGTTTCTTTCCCTCTCTTTCTTCCTCCCTTCCCCTCTCTCTAAAAATAAATAAAAAAATCTTTTTAAAAAACTGACAAATTTTTTTAATCATTATTATTACTATTTCACTGTCCTATGTCACAGGCTCGCCACCATTCAGGGGCCAGAGGTAAAAGGGAACATGTGCCCACTCATCACCACGCCTGGGAAAACACTGAGAGCGCCCATACCCGAGCACGCAATAACACGCTATAACTGAGGCAACACAGGCTGTCAAATGAAGACATGGCCCCATCCCTCGGACAAGGTGAGGGAGGAATGGGTCACAAAGTAGGAGGCCGGGGAAAAGCACGAGGTTGCCCTGTGCTCCCCGCCCCGAGTTCTACCCTGAGGGTCCCGAGTGCCTACCTGTCAAAGATCCTCTGTGGCTGCATTGTGCTGTGGACAATGTGGGTCAGGTGATCTTGGGCTGCGACCACTTCCGGGGGCGGGTTGTATTTATTCACTGCCATCACCTTTTTCAGAATCAGAAATGCCAAAGGGAAACAAATTTCATTTCTGAAAAGCACACAATGCTTACATTTTCTTTAATAAAATAGTCTAGACAGGCAACCAGGTCGAGAAAAATAATTTAACGTGTGCCCGTGAATCTTTGTGCTCAGCCTTCTCGTCTCCTCTAACTTTCCTAAAACCTAAGTAACGGCCATTATTTTAAAGTACCGAGCTGCAGTCCCTTGGTCCTCTACTTCTTTACAGTCCCTGGTTTAGGAGGAAAAAAGTAAAAACGAAAACAAAACCCTCAAGTCCAAGATAACTTTTGATGTAGTAAACGTCCCAGCTTTTAGTGTAAGGAGAAGAAACATAGTCCCAGGTCCTTGGTAATTGCGGCTGCAGAACTTTTTTCTCATGCCGTCTCACCAGGCACTATTCTGGTTACCTCCAGTTCTACCGAAACCACCGCCCCTTTTGGCATAACTCTCTCTGTTCAAAGCTGTGGGCCTTCTCTTCCTGAGGGTCTTCCCTCTAAGTGCATCGTCCTGGCTGCCACACCTTTCCTTAATTCACAGCGTTGAATTTTATTCCCTTTGCAAAACGGGAAAGGGAAATCTAATACGTGCATTTGAGTGTAAGAATAAGAATAATCTGTACCTTATTTTAACCAAGGTTTCAGAGAGGCATGTATGAAATGGAATATCTGCCTCTCTACATATTTATACCTGCTTTCACCCCCATCCCAAATTTGCATCCAGTGCAAGAAACCCCTCATTAGGGGAGATTTCTGCCGCTAAAGCAAGACAAAGCAGCTGGCACAGGTGCGGTGGGAGCGAGGCCAGTGCTAGCATTCAGCAGCTCTGCAACTGTGTGGCCGGATGAACTGCCATCTTAAAGAGCAGAATGACAGACTTAAAATAGCAGAGTGGCGATTCATCTGGGTACCTTCTGAACATGTGGTAAAATGGCGTTACAATGCATTTCATTATTAAATGAATTTTTAGAGTGACACACAGAACCACACACCTCCAGAGACAGTTCTCTGAATTGCCTGCCATGGCACTAGCCGCCTGTGCGAACGGAATGCTGCTGCCGAACCTGCGGTGACGGTTGGCTTTGCAGGCGGCTGAACAGACTGACCCTAGGACAAGGAGGCAGCCCCTAAACAAATAATTAATTATGTGTATCATTTATTGATTACATTGGTCCTGCAGCAGACAGTGTAAGCTTTTCAGCTTATTAACTCTGAACCACATGAAATAATACAATTACGTACCTTTTCTTCCACTTTAATCATCCTCTGGTCTAATTCTGTTAATCGTAGTAGCATAAAAATGACGAAGAACCAATATTCGGATTTTTCCTATTTAAAATATCAAGAGGACTATTCAATTGCCTTCACTTCCTCAAATTAACAAGCCCCAATGTTCTACTTTTATGAGCATGGGTCCATCACCTACCACCTCGTCAATCACATGCACACATACACATCTGTCTCTACGTTTTCACACTTACCAGCCCCCTTACATTAACAACTCAAAAGCACGCAGCGCCACGCAACTTATGAAGCTTTTCAAATGTGCGATCTTGTTGACCTCCCTGCGAGATAAGCAGGGCAGGTACAATTACCTTCACTTCTCAAGAGAAAACCAACCAGGCAAGCCTCACGGCGTGAAGCACTTAGTCCAAGGTGCCATGGCCAGCGACGTAAACCCTGTCACCTAACGCCGTGATTTTTGACCTTTTTCATCTCACGGTACACGTAAGCTAAGTACGGAAATTCTGGGGCACACCAAAAAACACATACTCTGCAGATCTGACAAAAAAAAAATAGGTATAATTTTGATGGACTTACAAAAATCAATAGTAATAATAGTAGTAGTAATTACCTACGCTTTTTGCTCCCAAGTAACATTTTAAAAAATCTTGTGCCTACACTATGCTTGTATATGAGGATTTCTGGTGCCGAGAATTAATCAGGTGCAAACTTATTATAAGATGTGACCAGTAAGATACAACTCTATTACAAGGCCTATATATTTATGGTTCAAGGAATGGCATTCACACTGAATGGCTATTGTTGTGCTCACTGTTGTTGTTTTTTTAAATTTGACAATCTAAGGGAGAAAAGGTCGGTGCCCCTGACTAAACAGTCAGGCACTGCATGTTTTAAAAATTCTTGCAGGCCACCAGTTGAAAATTTGAATTGAAAAAAAAAAAAAATCTGAAAATTGTTGTTCTAACTCCAAATAGTTTCATCATCACAAATAATGAAACGTTATTTATGATTAGTTTGTCATTTATTTATGACTTCATTTCATTTTGTATTAATTTGTATCATTTATTATGAATTTGTTTCACAATAAAGCTATTCACTTATGGAACGAATTCCTTATTATTCCCTACCATCTGCTCTGGTAGGATTATCTGCCTTTTAAAGATATAATTGAAGATTTTGTATTATGAAGCTACATCTCTTTGAAGGGGCAGATATTTGGGGACTGAAGCATTTTATGGACGGGAATGTGCATTACATGGATGCGCTCTCTCCGTGGACCTGAGGCTGGGGGTGCCGGCCGCGTTTAGACCTGCTGCTTTCTTTCCCGGTGTTGCTTTTAAATCACCTCCCCCTAGTCCTAGACCACAGATTGGTCTTCTTTTTAAATCTTATTTTTCACTTTTAACTTAATTTGATTTTTTTTTTTTTTTGCCTGTCCAGACACATTTAATCAAGATACACACAAAAACAAAGGTACTCAGAAATACAGAGAAATTCAAGAGTCTATAGAAAGGCAAGTGAAGGGTATAGGCAGGGAAGTGGGATGAAGGACCACGGAACAAAGAGGGAGGAACAAGGGCCGGGAAGAAAGGATCGGTCCCCGGACGAGAAGGCAAGGCCTGAAAGCTCTCGTGGGTCTCTGAATCCCAGAAGCAAAGAATCCATGGGAAATACATTTATTTTCATAATCATTTTATAACACCACCGATTTCAAAGCTATATGCAGACAATTTGGTTACGTTATCTCGTCTTAGACTTTCTTTCTGTTCCAAAGCAGGAACCATATTCTGTCCACACCTCCAGCCCTGTGCATCCACTCTCTCAAGAGCTCCCTCTTGCCACCTTTATTGCCTGCTGATGACTCGCAGTGGCCCCACAGGACAATCTCAGGCTTTACTTGCACTGTCTGTGGTGCCCAGGGACCTACCTGGCTTAGCCCTTCCAAGTGCTTCCTGAGAGACTGAGAATGAAGGCAAACACACTGTATTCATGAGCCTGACGTTCTTTATCAAAAGTACCTTGTAAGGAAGAGCTCCAAGAGAGCCCTCACCCACCTCCCCTGTTATAAATGATCTCTCACCTGAATTGGATTTCTTAGAAGATTGAGAACTCGAAGGAGAGGAAGATTTTCAATATATTCTATTTCACTCAGCTCAGCGATCTGTTTAATCAGAGGAACACAGCATTATCAATAGACTGAGTGCACAAAGATAATAGAAAGCCTGGTATAAGAGGGGCTACTTCGGATCCTTTAAATTCAACTGATTTTTAAAATCGCTCCACTGAATAATAGCCAGCTTTTTAGCGAGAATTCCACAAAGTTCCATAGAACCAGGAAATTAATGCACAGAACACTCAGCCCCATTTCCCTTTTCCCTCACCGGCTAGAGACCAGTGAGGTGTTCTTCATCTCAGCCATGTTTATTCAAAGGCATAAATGAAGTAGTTCATAGAATCAGAGAAAGAGTATGAAACATGCATGCGAAGGCTCCCTGCTTCTCCCCACCCCCAGCCCCAACCTAACAGTTCCTGACACGCTTCTGCCAGTCTGGGTTCACTGTGGCCGGTGGAGCCTTCTTACTGCATATACTTAGGTAGCTCTATCTTTCTTTAAAATAAGAAACAATTATTTTAAGGAAAGATGAAAATGGAAAGTGTATGACATATTTCCCGACATGGTGTTCCACAGGTGTTCCCTTTAAAATTTTTTGGTAAATGGTGCAGTTCTATATTCTCTTCTGCGTAGGTTAAGTTTCACAACTTTTAAAAGTAAAGAAAAAGGGATCCTTAATTTGACCAAGGGTAGAGTTTGGGTTGCAGCATGCCTGAATCTTCCACTAAACAAAGACGGACATGTTTACTTAAATTTCCAGTCATTAGCGTAATTATAATTTTATTACAAATATAGATATTGAACTTCTGCAAAAAATTAATCATCACTTTTCATTTATATTTCTCCCTAAGTCATATCTGCAGACATTGTGAAAGTGATGAATTCCTGAGTCATCCAACCACAAAACGCAGCTAAAATGTAAACTACTCCCAAAGCTAAATCAGGGCAAGAACCCATATGCCATGTTCAAAGGCTGCTATATTCACAGATACAACGGGAAAGGCAAATTCTGAGTTAAAATATGCGACCTGCCAATGGGTTGATTTCCCTGTAGTGTACAACTCTTGTGCTTGGACCTCACACAAATGTTAGGAGATCTTTCCCACAGTCACCACGTCTCACCGAGTCCTGGCGCCGTGGACTCACAGACATTGCTGGTGACAGCGGAAATTGGCACATTCTTCCAAAAGGGCGATCTGTGTTAAAAGTGCACAGGCTATGAACCAGCTGTCCCACTTCAAGAGGTTTATACTGAAGAGATCGTCAGACAGGCAAACATTAGATTCAAGAATGCTCTACCATCCGTAGTAAAAGCTAAAACTAGTCTAAATTCCTAAAAGCGCCATCATTGTGTGATTAGATGAGTCATGGTACAGTCGCATAATAGGAACACTATGCACCCAATTTAGAAGGTGGCGACATCTACGGTGACTGGCATGGGAAGATCTTCAAATGTCAAAACTGTACGGACTACACACAACTGTGCTACCGCTAAGGTGTCAGCTGGGATCACTGGTCTTTCGGGAGTCAAAGGAGAGGAGTCCAGTTCCCCTCCCAGGCCTTCCAGAGGCAGGACGAGGCTGGCCAGGCGGCGGGAGCGCGCGGGGAGCGGCTGGCTGCGAGTTCGAGCGGCTGGCGAGCGACAGCGCGCCCCAGGCACCAGCCGGCCTGCACGCGCTCGCCCTCCCTCCCCGGGACCTCGTCCCCAGTGGGCCACCTCCCTCACGCCTTCTCTCCTCAAATGCCAAGGCCCAAGGCTGAGTGTGTCACAGACGAGTACAGGTGGTGTGGGGACACAGTGCCCCACATGACCTAGAGTGAAATATTGCCAAGACGCTTATGTTCGGAGAGGAACCTCACCCGTCGGCTGCTAAGAAGGGCGGATCAGCAGAACTGACCCCCAGATTCTAGTCGGCCCCTCTTCTCGAACTTCCTCTGCCTGTTAGTCACGTCCCACCCCCACAGGCTTGTCCACTTGGACTTCGCAGGGAGACACATTTAGACAACTCTTGTTTTGTTTGTTTTTTGCTGTTTCCTTCTAGCCCATGCTCACCGAGCCTTCCATCCTGATGTAATGGGGCCTATTAAAGCTTTTGTTTAGATAGACAGACAGACATTTGTGAAATAACAACACTAAGTCTCAGAAGAGTAAAATGGCATTCTCTAAGTAACATGTTTGGGACAAATTTTCAATGCTGGAAATGACATCCAATCTAACAAGGAGTACAGAGCAGAGAATGACAAAGGCCCCCGAACCACCAGCAGATGACAAACACTTGCAAGGGAATATAAGAGAGACATTGAAATGATCACGTGAAGGACAACAATGTGCCAGCAGCTAAAACCAAGTAAGTCATACTGATGAAGGTGCTCCCAATAAAACAATATTCCTGACATCAGATTAATCGTGTGAGGAGCAGCAGCTATGTTATGTCTCTTTCAAATGATAAACTTCCCATCCCCGATACATGGCATTCTCAGCAGCACTGGAGGGATCCCCGAGGAAATCTTCGGAAGGCTCAAGGAATATTTCAGAGTGCCGTTGGCTGCTCCCCAGCCTGCCCGTTGGGGAGCGGGGGACCTGTGTTATTGTTACCAACCCAGTGATCACCCAAGGATCCTCTCCTTTGGGAAACGTGGCCAATATTTTTTAAGTGGAGTCTCTTTAATATTTGAAAGTTATAAACTCCTTTCTTCACTCACTCTTGTCCTTAAACTTTTCCAAATGTAATTTGAAAAGTCTCTTGAGATGGAAGAGAACAATATATTATTTGTGAGTTCTTTCTAGACCAGTGTGATCCGGTACTGAAGTTACTGGCCACAAGCGGCAACTTAGCACCTGGAACACGGCCGGGATGAATCGAGATGTGCTGTAGTGTCCAGTACACCCCACGTGTCAAAATCGTAGCGTGAAGCTACAGGATGTAAAATATCTTATCAATAATTCTGTATGTAGACTATGTGATGAAATGATGATATTTTACAATTAATTTCACCTGTTTCTTTTTACCTCTTTAATTGTGGCTACTAGAAAATTTAAAATTGCACACACATTTATGTTTTCTATTCTATTTTTATCAGAAAACGCTACTCCAGGGCATTTACACTTTTCTGAAAGGAGGGGCCAGTCGCACTTTATTTACTGTATCGTCCTGCAGGGTGAAGACATTGCCTATAGAGGCCTATGGTCTATGTTGACATCCTGGCTCTGTTATTTGCTAGACAAATAACTTTGGACAAGTTACTTAACCTCTCTGTGCCCCAGTTTCATCTATAAAATAGCAGCACTAACAGAGTTACATAATAAGGATTAAAGGAGATCTACATGAAGTGCTTAGAACAACGGCTTGTGCATAAGTATTCAATGACTGTCATGACTATTTTATGACTATTGCTATTATTAGTATTACCATTACCGAGGTAAGGTCCCTTCTACCTTTCCAATATTCCCCATCTATATGTGAATCATGTCAATGGCAATTTCATAAAAAAGACACTGAAACCATATGAAATAGAGATTGTGCTGATTTCATAAGACACAGGGCCCAATGAACAAAAGTTGTCCACTAGAATTAAGTGAACAAGTTGACAAAACAATTTAACGTACAAGTCAAATGAAAGTGAGGATGAACAGTTCTGTCTGTGTAATTAAATATCCACTTCTTCCCAGAACTAAGGACTGCCTTTTCTTGATTTTACAAACCTAACAGACGCTGGAAGCTGAGCACCGTCATGGCTGAACAGAGAAGCCCCTCCCTGCCAAGTAGGACCAATGCCTGCCTCTGGGTCACCCAAACTTTTCACTTTTCAAGAAGAAATAAACATTCAATTTCCTCATGAAATCTTTTCAAAACATGTGATGAAGCACACAGTATGAGTAAAATCACCATGTGGATCTTAGTGCATAAAAAATCAGCTATAGGTACCAACTTAATATACCATTAGAAGTACAACTACTTTATTGAAAATAAAGTATAATTAAGAGTGAAAGCCCATGTATGTAACTTGTACAGCAAGCCAGATACAGAAATTTGAATAAGTCCGATCTCCAACTCACACAGATTGGGAGCATATGCTGTTGCTGCCCACGGGGTGTAAGAATTCTCCTCGTACGCCTCTTTTCCTTAAGCGGTGGGCATGGGCAAGACGAGCCTGAGGCTACCATCATGTTTGTCCGCAACGCCCCTGCTCTGACGTTTCAGGCATTCCTAATGCTATCTTTCTACACAGAATTTCACACGAACATGTTTACTTCAGACAGTCACGTGCACTTGGTTGCAGTTGAAACCTTTAAAACGAGGTACTTAGAGGCATAATAGAATTCTCAAAAATTGTGAAGTGTATTTTTTTTTTCCGAAAAGTCCTTCTTCAACTCCTGCTCCAGGAGGTTTTCCAGAATGACATTTCTAAGCTGGCATTTAATGGGACAGCCTTTGGGCAACTAATGATGGGTCCTAATGTGTCTTAATTCAGACACTAGCGCTGACATGGGTGCAGGGCAACATTACCTTATTGTCCTCGAGGTTGATCACTTCCAGGAAGTCATGGCTCTCTAAGCCTTGGAGGCTGCTGATCTGATTGTGGGACAGATCCACGATCCGTAAGGCTTTCAGATCATCCAAACCCGTGATCTTCTCAATCTGGTTATGGCTCTAAAATTGATCAAAGACACTCAGTGTCTTAAAGGCCTCCATAGGACAAGGTGAAATGACAAGCATTCATTCTCAATGCTGCGCCTAATCTCTCAAAGCCAGGAAGCCACTCTTGTTGCTTTCCCCACCCCCATTTCCATTACTCACCTTCCTAAACACATATACATACAGCCCGGAAAGGAAGCCCAATTTTTCAGCATGAAGACTCAGAACACAATGTTTTCACTGAAGTTAAAGCTAGAGGAATATTCAAATCAGCAGAACAGACAAAAACTGGATAATATTGCATAATCTAAAGCCTAATGATAGTGTAACCCCATGTTTATGTTTAGAAAAGGAAATTCAATGCAGTTCTTTCATCGGCATCACAATAAGCCACCTGAATATTATAATTTCCATATACACTTTGCTTTCAGCAACATTCTAAATATAATCTCTTCATGTCATGAGGGCTGTGGGAGTGTGATACATACCCTCAGGTATCTGTGCTCTCGTGAAGTTCTCACCTCAGGAACCTGGGCTGGACCTACAATTTGTACAATTTGTCTTGACCGAAGGAATATGGCAAAAGTGTGCCAGATCCAAGTCTCAGAATTAAGAAGGCCTGACAGCTTCCCATTGTGTCTTGGACCCCTGAGCTGCAATGTAAGAATGTTGGCCGCTCTATTGGAGAGAATTTGTGGAGAAGTCCCATGGAGAAGGAGAGGTCACATGGAGGGGGGCCCTGGGACTAAATGCAGAGAAAATTCCAGCATCCCAGCTGGGCCCAGACCCAGCCAACCTGCCCGCTGAATGAGGCAACACCAGCAGAAGAACCACCCAGCTGAACCCAGCTCAGACCACAGAATCGCTAGCTAATAAAGTTTCTCCATGCCATAAACTAAGTTTTTCAATGATTTATACATAAACATCTTCTCAGACAATGAGCATGAAACAAAGAAAAATTCAAGAGTCGACTCAAATGCTGTCCTCTTTCCCAGGCCCCATGTGCCCATAACAAATAATGGTGACAAAACAATTTGCATTTTCTTGTACATTTTCCAACATACTCATAACTCCTTGGGTTCCTTAGCTTTGAGGGAATATGTGCAGTAAAATTAAACTCTTAGTTTGAGAATCATATTAAAGGAAATTTTGAAGTTTCAGTTAATGCTGTTATGTCCATCTTTAAACTTTGAAAACTTTTAATAAGCACCTTTGAACTAAAACATTTAAACCATAGTATTCTCTTCCTCTATAGTATTTTTCCTGGTACATTTAATAGCATTTTCATCCTATTTTTCTTAAGATTTAACTTCAATAATGAGCAAGATTTGTATTCATTGGCATAATTTATGGTTCCTTAAAATACCTTCATAGAACGTTGATGATCTATAAAGCTGGGTGATAGTACACGGGGGCTCATTAAACCATTTCCTTTATTTTTATGTGTGTTTGACACATTCTATAAGAAGGAAAAAAATGCTCATAACCCCAATTGCCTAAGTAAAGTCAAATTTCCTACTATTCAGAGTTCAGAAAAGTTCTAGAAAGAGTAATAGAAAAGAAAAAAAAGACACTAAACTTAACATAATATCCATATTAATTTAACTTATTGAAATGAGACTTCAATCCCCTATTTAAGATATGCCCACATATCTAATTTATACGCACTATATTTCTTTGCAGAGAACTCCGAAGGGCTGGGATGGGGAAGATAGCCTGCCTAACTCTCTGCAGGGTCTCTGTTGGCGTTCGAAGTGGTGGAGGAGTGAGAGTTGAGTGAGGCATAGAAAAGTTTCATTAGATAGTCTGGCCATAAATAAGGCAGAACTGAGAAATATTCAGGATCGCAGAAATCCTGAGTCGAGAGTCATCTAGTCAAACTCTTTATCCGATGCTGAGACACTGACACATGGCCCCGGACACGGGGCGCCCCGTTTCTGCATGAACGGTTCCTGCTTGTGTTGCTGTGATCAGCAGGAAACGGGGCCTTTGGAGAGAAGCCATTTCCTTAAACAAATGAAACAAGAAATATTCATCTCTCAGTTTGGGAGAAAAACAACGAGTGGTTCTTACTGAGACAAAAGTGAATTTTAAAACTTGAAATGATCTGTCGTCACTTGCTAAGGGAAGTGGCTGTCACGGCCGCCCACAAGGGACCACATTTCCCCTTATATTTGTCACCAAAGTCGATAATAGACAATCAACTATCGGTGTGTATAATGAATCATTCTTTTTTCTCTAAATTGTAAAAGAAACTATTTTCAATAGTGAAGCAACTGGTTTTCTTATCCCACAAATTAAAATAAGTAATAAAAGCATTAAAAACTGTTGAGAAGCAGGGACCTACCGCCAAGATTGTTCTACCCAGCAAAGCTATCATTGAGAATTGAAGGGCAGATGAAGAGCTTCCCAGACAAGAAAAAGCTGGTTTATCATCACCAAACCATTATCATATAAAATGTTAAAGGGACTTATTTTAAGAAAAAGATCAAAGGCTATGAACAATAAAATGGCAAAAATACATTATCTATCAACAATTGAATCTAAAAAGTAAACTAAGCAAGAACAGAGATACAATCATGGATACAGAGAGCAGAGTGTTTTGACGGTTGCCAGACGGGAGGGGGATGTAGGGGAACGGGTGAAGAGGCGAGGGGATTAAGGAATAGAAACCGGTAGTCACAGAACAGCCACGGGGATGTAAAGTACAGCCTAGGAGACGGAGTAGCCAGAGAATTTATACGCATGACCCGTGGGCATGAACAATGGTGGGGAGATTGCCTGAGGGAGTGGGGGGTGCTGGGTGGAGGAGTCAAAGAGGGAAAAATCAGGACAATGGTAATAGCATAATCAATAAAATTTTAACAACTGTTGAAACAAATGTGTATCATTTTACTTTGTGTATTTTATTAACGCGGAAAAGAAAACCTTCCTGTTCTCAAAAACGAAAGACGGCGTTTCCTGTACTTTCTAGTTCACCTTGGGTAGGAGGGGCAGGGGTTGGGAAACATCCACCTAATCCATTTGTAGAAGGAAAAAAAAAAAAAAAAAGTCTTTTATGTTTTTGTCCAAAAGCTACTTGAGATTGTCAACATGGATTACTTATTTAGTTCCTGAAACAAATTGTTAGGATGAAAGTGCTATGTGTTGTTATTGTTAATAATGAGTCCCATCCTCGGTCCCCTAAGCACACCCCGAGATGCCTTTCTATGTATCAAGCTCCGCGTAAAGTGAACGGCAACACCAGTACAGCAAGTCAGGGGAAGGCGAGGGTGAGCTGCAAACGGAACAGCACCTACTGCCAACAATCCTGCCAATTATCATAACTTTACAATGTGACTTTTTAAGCAAGTCTTACATTTGCAGTCCGACTTATCAAAATCATCTTCCTCTGTACTTTGCTAACACATGCCTTGGGGGGCAGAAAACAGGAAACCTCAAGGAGATGATTAAACCCTTCCATCCCCAGCACGGGAAGCCAGTACTCTCCCCTCTCCTAACTCACTGGAAGGAGTGAAGGCTCTTCAAAAATGCACGTCATTCTCCAAGCTGGGGGGAAAACGTTAACACACAGCCAGCCATCAGTTATTGTGGTTAAATAAGACAGGGGGAGTATATTGTGGATGTCATAATTCTGCAGACAACCCGAGATATTGCAAACAGCAGTTCAACACTCTGTTGCAGGAGAGCTCGCTTAGGACTTTAATCAGCTGCCAGCCTCCTGGCTTAAAATCCTCCGTGCCCACCGTGTGTGATCGACGCAATAAAGAACAGCAAGGCCACCCCAGGTCAAGAGGTAGGAGGGAAGAGGAAAGGGAGAAGGAAAAATGGATGATCCAGAAAGTATACCATCAACCCCCAAATTAGTGAGCTATGTTGTTATTTCAAAAATGCAGTCTATTTGGGACTATTATGATTCTGATTTTTTTGGTAAATTATCCATATTTTCAGTAGGTCACAGTCATGTAGGATGTTATATATAGCTAAAAAAGACTGTTCGCTGTGGGGGAAAAAATAAACAAGTTGAAACGCTCTGATTGGGACTGTCCATTTATTCTCAGCACTAATTTTGATTGTTAGGAGGGGAAACTAGCACATATTAATAAAAAAGGACTGCAAAAATTCAGTGCCCAGAGAACATCTTGTGGTTCATTTGAAAGAATGTGTGTTAACAGCAATAAATTCAATGCGTAAGACATTAGAGAATGTCTTAAATTGTTAAGAGTATACTTTTCTTTCTCAGTGCGAAAAGTCAGTCTTTTGAAAATTGACTTTGGATACCAAGTTAGAAAGTCATTTTCCATTGGCATAAAATATTGGTCATACACATATGCCAGATATGGAAAGGAGCGATCAAACTGAAGGCAATAACATAGCATTAAAGAACTCTTTCTTTATAAAGCTGAAAATTCCCAAATGATTATAATTCATACACTTACTAAAATTCTGACTAGCATTTCTAAAGAATAACATTTTGTTAGACTCACCAGGCACAGTATTTTGATGGGTAATATGCCTAAGCCATCAATCTCTCTGATCTTGTTTTCGGCCAGACTAAGGTGAGTGAGGCTGCTGCACAGCTCCAGGCCGCGGATTTCTTCTATCTTGTTGCCTATAGACCAGGACTATGTTTAAGGAAAATGTCGTTAAAACATTTTAGGGGAAAAAAATTGGTGTTAAACCAGACCACAGCAACAACAGAGCCCTATTACAGGGCCAATACAGGATGATCAGTAAATCTTGAAATGCAGTCTTCATATGGAAGTTAACACTAGCATGACTTAACATTAACTCTTTAAAGGAATGTCGGTTTTTCTGTTTGTTTGTTTTTCACATGCGGTCGCTCACATTTACGCTCCGAGAGGCCTGCAGCCCTCTCCTCGGCCAAGTGTCTTCCCTCGGTTCCTCGGGTCTCCCTGAGAAACTCGGTGCTCCCCACAGGCGGGACGCTGAACAGAGTCGCCATGGAGCGGCGGGCGCTATGCAGCAGGCCGCGTCTCCGTCACAAGCAGGGTAACAGCCTGGGGAAAGGCACCTGCGGCACATGGTGGTGAAGAGAAGCCAATGCCCTGACCCAGAGAGGAGCAGCCCTTTCTTTGTGCCTGCGTTGCCTTCTCCCTTTAAAATAAATGAAACCGCAACTCTGCCTCAGTTTCCTCGTCCATTGACTAAGTTTCTATTCATTGCTAACATTTTAACTTCTCTTCTTGTGGGCACCTGAAACTGCAATCTCAAAGTCACCAATTTGCCTCCTCTCTCTCTGTCCTCAAATCCCTTTGGCAAATTTCCAGACTTTGATACCATTTCCCTACCAAAGGTCAAGCCCTACCCCCGACCCCTCCCCTTCTCTCCAAGTCACCAAAACATCACCGTTTTCTCAACCGCTTGTAATCTTCAGGGCACCCAATCCCTCGCCAAAACCTGTTTTGTTTTTTTTTTATTTGTTTGGGGTTTTTTTGCTTTAAAACATGTCTTGAATTAGTTCTCTTTTCATTCATTTCTCTGCCAACTGTATTAAGCTTTGGTACCAGTGGGTACCTCTAACATCTGTCCCCAAGTCACCTTACACACTGTGGTCAAGGATAATTTTTTTTCAAAACATTGATTGGATATGAAGCGCCAATAAAACAATTCTCACAGGACAAATTCCAAATTTCTCACTCTAGAATTGAAGGCTCTTCACTTGGAGCAAAGCCTATTTATTCGGTTTCGTCCCTCTTATAATCCAATGAGAGTTCTCCCATTCTGCCAGGGGCAAATTCTGCGCGGCTCTGGAACAAGCCAGTGATCTTGTCACTGCCTCCCTCCTCCTTTCTAAGCCCTGCCCATTCCTCAGGCTCGATTTCAAATCCCACTTTTGTTTTTCTTTGTTTTGATCATTTGTATTCAACCAACATCTTAAGTATTTATTTTTCATTGATAACCTATTTTCCTTTTTATTAATTTTTAATTACATAAGTAAGTGCAAACAATAGATTGGAAGAACATATTCACAACATATATAGTAGACAAAGGGTAAAGAAGAGCCATGAACTAATGAGGGAAAAAAAAAAAAGACAAAACCACCCCTTTGAAAATGTAGAAAGAAATGTGTTCCGGGTATTTCCAGGGAGTTCCCAGAAGAGCAAATCTAAGAGGCCAATAAACATGTGAAAAGACACTTTACAGATTAAGACAAGGTGCCGTTCTTCACCATCAGCTTAGCAAACACAAAAGGTTTAAGCATTTCAAAGGTTCCAAAGAACAGACATGTTCATACTACTGGGAGAGAGGGCTCATTATCATAGAGCCACTTTGGCGGTGACATGGTGTGAGCAGGTCACAGCAGCCCCACGTCTTGGTTTCTACACTATACAAACCGCTTTGTCCTGAAAGCCTCGTCTGTTCAATTTCCACCCCCCAACCCCCAGCTATTTGCTGCCATGAACCATAGAATCAACCACCACGGAATCAGTTTTTCAAAGAGAAAGGAAGGGATTGTAAGCATCACAAAAACATATATTTTGCCTCATAATTATTTGTAGTTATCCCAACTCTACGACTTACAAGTTACATGACTTCTCTCTGCTCAGACACCAGGATGCTGTGAAGGCCAAAATTACATCATACAAAAAAAACTAGAACACTAGAACTATGAGTTGCATGAACCATAACACCACCTACAATTATAAAGCACTGTTTCCTTACTGAATTAGAAGTGCGCAAGGCCAAAAGATCACATCCCCTACCACTGGGCCAACAGCACAAAATGGAAGGTTCAAGGCCAGGACTGATTCCGAAGAGAACTAGGCCGCAGAAAGAGGTCAATTAGGAAACTAGAAGCAATGAAGAGAAAACGTTACCCAGTGAACCAGGAATTTCTAGATTTTCCTCACTGATTCCATTCGGATTCAATTGTTGGGCGGAAACGTAGCTCTGCTTGTCATCAATGTGCACGTTCCACTCTTTCCTAAAGCTTCCTGCCACAATAGCTCTGCGAATAGGCATTTCCTCTCACAAACACTATGCTCCTTTCTGCTTCCATTTTCTTTAGGCTATTTACATCATCCTCCCGCTACCAAAACAGAGACCAGACCTTTGCAGCTATGGATTGTAACAAAGGCTGTGAAACGCAGAGAGTGGGAGATTAAGCTCGCACACAGCCACAGGTGAAATAAAATATCCTCTGAGTAGGCAAGCCTGGGCAAGAAAAACTTCAAACAGCCACCTGTCTCGGTTTAGCGCAGGGAGCGACAACCGTTAGGTCCTGTTTCAGGAGCCCGAGTGTCCTGGTGGCTGTGCTCCAGCCGAAATGAAGATGCTCTGAATTACAACAGAGGATACAGTATAACACATGCCTGTGGGCAGCTGAGCCAGGAAGCAGTCCCGGGGGGAGCAGGCAAGGACCAGAGAACCAGAATACCAGGAATCCTGAAACCGGGAAGAGATAATGGGAATCGAAAAGGAACGCTCGTTTACTGTGTACACAGCCATTTTCCAAGACGTGAGAGGCTAACCAACAAGTTCCCTGGGTGGACACAGCTGACTAGCTCTGACCAGAACGGCAGGTCTTGTTTCACGGCATTACTGTTGCGAGGGACAAAGGAGGAAAAATACAGACGTGTTGCTTCAGTCATACTTGGGCTGCGGCAGCTCCTGTCACCGTCACTCACAGCGCTGGGGCCAAGGGGGACGGATTGACTGAAGGTTTCTAGGGAGAAATAAGTCCATTTCAGAAAAATGGGCATTTCCCAACTCTTCATTCCCCTTTAGATTTCCAGGAATTTCAGGCACTATAAATTAATGGGGTTCTTGAGGAAGGAGTGTTTTTTTTGTTGTTTTACAGTGGCATAGCAGCTTCCCCGCTAGTGACTCCCACAAGCCCCCTCTTCCGTGACTGCCAGCAATGACAACCGTCAATGTGGTCGGCACAAGGCTCTGAGTTCGCTGCTTGCTCTCAGGGATACCTTCATCTCCCTAATCACCTGTTTTCTTATTTTAAGAACCTTGATAAAATATTACTTGGCCTTCCTTCTAACATTCTTTCATGTTCTTTCTTAGGTCTTGGGACTTCTGGCTAAGAAGAAATATAATCTGATAAATCACTAAACTATTCCAAGGAATTAGCTTACTGGGTTAATCCTCTTAGGTATATTTTAATTTTCAAAGGCCACTATCAGGAAAAAGAGACTCAAAGAACGCATCTCTATCACGCTGCATTCCAGCTCTAAAGCTTTTTGTTCTGTGAATAAATCTCATCCACCGAATTTCAGATCCCCGAGGGGATGGAGTGAAAGAACCCAGTGGCGCACAGGCACAACTTCACAGCCAGGAGGAGGCCCAAAAACGTATTTCTTACATTTTGGGGATGCTGTCAGCAGCTCACAGCGCTTGACATGAATTATTCACTCGTTCGGCATTCGCTCTTATTCATTTGTCTATGATCAAAAAATATGGTTCGGGTGTTCAGAAAACAGTTACTGAGAAATCCTGGAAATCTATCACGCTTCTCTTAGTGGGGAAACCTGCAATGATGGCTTTAATCAAAACCAATCCTGAAAGATCTGTATCACCTTGCCAGTGAAAAATGTTCTTCCCTATAGGAGTGAAACTCTGTAAGAAATGAAACACGCATACACTTTAAATAAATGGCAGGGGATAAAAGCAGCGATTGCTCAATGAGTTACAACCTGGGAAATACAATGGAATTCAAGAGGCTAGTCTCAGTTCAACCTTTTTCCAAATAATCTCGGACAGTTCACCGACCCAAGTCTCAGGCTCCTCCTCTTCCATAAATGTAACGGTCAGTACTGGGTGATCTCAAAAATCCTGTCTGCTTTAAAAATTCTGTGAATCATTTTTAAATTCCATAATTTTCTATAATCATAAGGGAAACAATCAGTCAGAATTCATAGGTAAAAAATAAACTGTATCCTTTCTCAGGAATTAGTAAATTTACATACATTTGGCCAAGTTTATCATCCTGCACTTTAGGATGATTATCAATTAATCATCAGTGATCCACATATGAAAGGACAAAACAGCATAATAAACTACAAAGTTCATATCTTATAGTTAATTCATTCTGATATATTAATATAATCTACTACAATCACATTATCAGAATTACTAGTTTTATTAATTGATTTGTTTTAAATCGTTCTTTATTTTTATAATTACTTTTATTTAACTTTATTTTAAAGAAAAGCACATTTTTTCCCCCTTCAGTAGAGAAGTCCTCTGTGCCCACTAAGGAAAGCTTGAACAAATGTGCAAAGCATAAAAAAGGTAACAGCCAACTGTTGGAAGCCACTGGACCGGGAAAGCATGCCTTGCAAGGCATGAGCGAGGGGACAGGTTAGTTCAGAGCCGAGGCTCTCGAGTGCGGTCCTCAGACCGGCAATGCCCGCGCAGCCTGCGCACCTGCTGGAAACGCACAGTCGCAGGTGCTACCCCAGACCTACTCAGCGGGCGCCCAGCAACAGGTGCTTCATTTCAACAAACCCTCCGGGGGATTCTGACACAGCTGATGTGTGAAGCTTGGTAAATGCTTGTTTTCCAAGAAATGAATTTCTAATTTTCAGGCTTTTAAATGTGTTCACTGACAGAGGCACATCATTGGCCCCATATATGGCCTGCTTTTTATTTACTTTTAAAAAGGTAATGGGCGCTCCTGAAACCACTGCCATCACGACCACCCCACTCTCAGCCCAAGAAGTGGAACAGCTGCAGTGACTTTATACACCTCCAGTCCCTTCCTAGTGCCCCCCCCCCCCGGAGATACCGGTGACCACTGTACTGTTCATCTAGTTCCTCTTCCCTTTCCCATTGGTTTTATACCTCATTCCCAGGTTCCATGTGGCCTATTAAGATCCCTCCTAATTGCTGCATGGGAGCGTATTCCATCCACTTTCGCGGCAGTATAATATGCTCCTGCGCAAGTGCACCACAAGTGATACTCGCTCTCATCCATGCACTTTGCGCCTCTTTCAATTTTCTGCTATTACGAGTAATGCTGCTATGAGCATCCGTGATTCTTACACAAGCCTCCAGGTATACACAGGCTGAGACCCTCCATATGTAGGAACGAATACACTAGGCCATAGGGAATTTGGATGCTCAACTTTACAAGATAGTAGGAAGTTGTTTTCCAAAGTGGTTGACCCAGAGACAGGCTCAGAGATGGAGAGCAGGCTGAGCGCTATGCGGGTGGGGGGACGCGGGGGGGGGGCGGGTAGGGGGAGGTTAGAGGGTGGAGGGGTCGAGCGAAAAAGGAAGAAGGGCTCATGGGCACGGATCAGTGTGGTGACTGCAGGGGGTGCGGGGTATGAGGGCGTTAAAAGCAATGGAAAAATACAATAACACGTTTCGAAAACAAATATAAAATGAAAAAATAAAATCAATTACCTTGGCTAAGGAAAAAAGTGGCTGAACCAATTTCATACCCATAAGCAACACAAAGAGATCCTTTTAATCTACCATGTTCCCCAATCCTCGGCATTTTTAGATGTCTTAAATTTTGTCCACTGCTTGTTCATTTTCACAGGAAAGTTCTAAAGGGCGTGGGGCTATGTTCCAAGCATTCCATCAAATGCGAAGAGAGTTGTCCTACTGAATGTCTCCCAGAAAACGCGCCTCCTCCCCCCCCCCCCCCCCCCCCCCTCATTGCAGGCGTCATGTGTACGGGCTGCTGCACCGGCGCTCGCATGAGGCACCAGGGAGAGTCCATCTGTGCTCCACTCCACGCTAAAAATCCTCAGGCGGGCAGAAAGAGGCGCACTGAGAAAGAGGAGGCGCTGTTCTCCTCACCCCGAGGACGTTGTCTCTGGTGTGAAGAAGGGACTCGAGCTCATTAAACGCAGAGACGCCCCATTAACCCCTTAGGCCCTAGGAGCGGGCACATGCCCACTTGAGAGTAGGTGCTGTTTGTGCGGGAACCGGACTCACACAGTAGACAGATCTGTTCCTGAAGTCGGTTGCAAATCAAAAGTTGATTTTTTTTTTTTTAATGAAACACGCTTTAAATACAATAGAGAAGCTTGCTATTTAAAGGGAACTTTTAGTATGAATGCTTTTGTAAAATAAATAATTACTAATTTCCCTTATGGCCATATCTGGATTTTCAGATACTGAATTTATATAAGATAGGGAGCACATTTAAGTAAATTTGAAAAGGAGTTCAGATAAGAAGTTCAGTTCAAACAACTTGTTTGGCTCTAGAATTAAAAATAAGCCTACATTTATTAGAATGACTGTCTCGCTTAGCTTTTCAGGTATAAAATGCTCTTGGTAAGTTTTGATGTGCAGTCTTATTCTTTGGTAAATAAAACATCATTCCTCATTTTGTGATGGTTAATTCTTAATTATTTACATGAGTCACACATCTCTAGTAAACTGCTTATCTGACACTATTCCATGCCGTCTGGTATACAAACACTTATTAATGGGTCTATTAAGCAAATTTTCCCCTTTACTTATCAAAGGATACTGTCCAAAATTAGTTTAGTGAGAGCTTGGTATGCCGACAAATTACCCAATTCAGAAATTTGGTTGCAGGACAGGTCGACCTTCTGAGGAGAGAAAGCAGCAGTGTGTCATACTTTATTTCTCATTGGTCTTAACCACACTAATTACATGCATAACAAGGATGCGCTTCTGGGTGTGGGGTTAGAATTCTTTACTGAAAACAGGCTGAAGCTAACACAGTCCCCTCTGTTCCATCCCTGTCTGCCAGGGGCCCTGCGGGGGTCTCTCCCGGACGCCAGGGCGGGCGCCCCGCGGCTGCTCTCCCCATTGCAGCGCCCCCTTCGGGGGAACCTCAGTTTCAGCCTTACCACCGCCCACCGCGTCTTTCAGCTGCTCTAATGCCCAGCAAACTGTATTCACTTAGTTTATACGCATATTTTGTTTCTCTTTCCTTTGCCTTTTCTGGTTTTATCTCAGTACGTTCTCCATGTCACCCCCTTAATGCCAGAAAAACCTTCCTGATTCCTCCCTCAGGTCATAGCTCTTCAGCTTAATACCCTTTCTCAAAATGGACTATTTTAGGAAAGCATTTTCAGCAACATCAGCTGTTCCTACTCAAAAATATGAGATAAGAGATATATAACATTAAATAACTTTAATTATTCACCTACTGGCAAAACAAACAAAAGTGATTTCTTTTAAGAAATGGGGAAAAAAACCTAACTTTTCTGAAACACTGCATTAATTTGCATTTTCTAGAAAACTATGCAGCAATTATATAAACCACCATTCTTTTTGTACCCTTTAAAACAGTGATTCCGCCCTCAAAAATGTGCTACAATTATTTTGTCAATGAATTAAATACTAAATACTTTAAATACTGGATTCTTTAAAAAGGAAAAATTGGCAACAACCCAAGTGGCAAGAGTGGAAAACCGGTTAAGTCCATTACAGTGTGGCACTGGGACTAGATTCAGTCAGTAAAACGCGTGTGCCCAGGCTCTGTGGCACTGGTTCCCAAATTTGTCAGCCCATTGGAGCCCCCGAAGTCTTGTCATTACCTTGGGCCACTTGAGTCAGAACCTGCCCACAGCGTTCAGGCAGTGGTTTTAAAACTCTCCAGGTGACTGCAGTGTGCAGAAAAGTCTGGAAACCACTCTTCCACGGTCTCTCTGCTGCCCTGCGGCCTAGGATTGGCAGCAATAACATCGCCCTCCCGGGCCCCACCCTGACCTCATGGTCGGACCCTCATTTGCACAAGAACCCAAGGATCTGTGTGCACACTGAGGTGCAGGACCCAGCGCCCCGCAGCAGGGCAAGCTGCTCCGCCAACTGCTGCTCCCAGAGAGTCCAATTCCACCCCAGAAAGGCCAAGGCTGCTGCAGAGAGGTAGGAATGCCGGTCTGAAATCACCGCATCCTCAGAAAACCGAAGCCTGATCCGTAAGGAGGCAAAATCTGAGCCCCCTGCACGTGGTCATAGATTTGTCACGTATAAAATTATTCTACAATAAAAATCATACAGATAATAACTAGCATTTAAATGAAGGAGAGAGAACAGAAGGCAGCTACTTCTTTGGTTTGTACACTAGGTTTGAGCACAGCTTCCTAAGAGTATCCATTGATAGGCCTTTTCCCTTTTCCAAAATAAATGATGCATAAATCCTCCTCCCTGTTATTTCATTTCAAATACACTATTTCCCCCTACCTCTTATTCTCTCTGAATTTCCCATTTGAGTGCCATTTTGCTTAAGAATGTACTTGGCAAACCAGTTAACATAGGTAGTTGGTGTATGGAGAAAGTCTACCTTGAGATTTTTGGGTGGCTTGAAGTTGAAGAATGTAGTCAGTTTATTTTGAGAAGCATTAAGTTCTAGAAGATAAGGCATACAACTCACACAAGACAAATCTGGGGAGAAAAAATAAGTACACAACAAGGTAAGCCAATAAAATAAAAATCAGACTAAGTCATTAAAAACAGCACACGTTGCATGAGAACATTTCTAAATTATGCTCCCTGCAAGTGCATCCTAATCATTCCAGGTGCGTGAAATGACTAGGGTGTGTGAAATAAGCACGCATGCGCGCGCGGCAAACTCTCCATTAGCCATTAACTGAAACTTCTTCCCGGGGCCTCCCCACCTCCTCCGCCCCTCTTCTGCCAGGACAGCCAAGGAACAAATAACCGAGGCCTCCTCGCTGCCGCAGCTTGCTGTTAACAGTCCGATGCTTCAAAACTTGTCAGCCCTGGAGGAGAGAAAGGCCCAGAAACTAGAGCCATAGATAATCCTCTTGAAAATTAGCCCCTAAATAACTGAATTAGGTCTTTTCAGAAAGATGGAAAATGCCACAATTAGAGAACTTTCTTGACTATAAATTAAATTTTGTTTTAGGTGGACTTAATCCTAAATCTCATTAATTCTTTCAAGCGATTTAAATTATTGCGATTACTTCCCTTTGACTTTGGAGTGGCTCGAATGCATGTGTGCGCCTTGCATTTTATCCTAAGCAAATATTCTGAACCTCGAATGCTAAGTAAAGGACTCCTGTGCTAATTCACTCCTAATGAAATGGCAGTAAAACGTGAAAAATGAAGTATCGTGTTGCCTTTTTCTGCCCCTGCACAGCGGACATGCTTCCGAACAGGAAGGGGAAACAAGAAAATGGCTCCATAAGAATCCCATGATGAGGATTTTACTGCCCTGATTCCACCAGTAACTTGTTTCTCCACCTGAAACTGTTAGTAATGATGTCTCCCTCTCTTCTCATTCTAGATCGCAGAACCAGTGGTTACACCCCTGAAGCCAGAAGATTCCTACCAATTTCTTCTTTGTTTCTTTGGTGTAAACAATACACCCTTCTTTTGTCTGTCTTTTAATTTTTTTTAAATTTATTTATTTATTTTCAGAGAGAGGGGAAGGGAGGGAGAAAGAAAGGGAGAGAAACGTCAATGGGTGGTTGGTCTGCAACCCAGGCATGTGCCCGGACTGGGAATTGAACCGGCGACCCTTTGGTGTGCAGGCCGGCGCTCAATCCACTGAGCCACACCAGCCAGGGCTAGTCTGGCTTTTCGAATGAAATTGTTCTGGGAGAGAGAATCCACTGAAACATGAACCCCTTGGTGGGAGTTAATAGGCTGCCTTGAGGGGACACCTAAGGAGAAACTGTCATCACTTTACAAGTTTTGCCTCTTTGTCCATTCTGAGCTCAGCTCTGTGTCTGTCAGCAGTGGTCTCAACTCTACTCATTTCCACCAGCCCCTGTACCCCCTTGGAGCTGACCTTCCTGTGGGCAGGTAAGCGCTGTACCATAGAGTTCTGTCTTAAAGCAACAGCAGCAACCACGTAATGGAGATGAAGAGATGACAAACACATGTCATACTGTGTAGATGGCCAATGCTTTTAAGTCACTGACGGAGAAATTCATGGTCTGGGCTGCTGAACTTCTAACTTTCTCAGGCCTCTTAATTCCCTACTCGGTGTAGTGACCTCCATGTCCACTAGATGGCAGGAGCACCTCGCGTCTCCATCCGTGGTTCTCAAAGTGAGGTCCTGGACCAGCAGCCTTGGCTTCACGTGGGGACTGACTAGAAATGCAAATCGTCCACTCCCACCCTAGATCTGCTGAAGCTGAAGCTCCAAGGGTGGGGCGCAGCCACCTGTGTTTGAACAGCCCCCATGCTCACAGCGCAGGTGATCCTTATACAAATTGAGACTGGCCTACATCAGCTCATCAGTAACACTCCACCCAAGGAGAAAAATCTACTGCACTTTTCCAACAGTAGATTCTCAAATACTCGATGAGCTCATAAAACAGGCCATGAAAGATGGAAGACGACGGATCTGAAGAGGAAAGCTGCACTTGCAACTGCAAGCTCCTCACTCACGTCACAAGGGTGCGAAGCCACTTCTCTTCCCTCTTTCCTAGCACTAGCGTTCCTGAAGCCCCAGCCGCTCTGGAATTCCTTATCCAGTAAACAAAACCAGCCTTGGAGGGGTGGGGTCTGGGAGAGCTCCTGCCGGTCACACTAAAACGTCTTTCTGATGCTTTAAAATAATTCGGGGGATGGGGGACGGGGTCTGAAGTGGGACAGGCCATGGGCTGATAGTTGTGGACCCTGACTGTTCATGACAGTAATCTCTCCACTTGTTCTCATGTTTGTAATTTTGCGTAATAAAGTTTTATAAAATGAGGGGGTAGAAGTCTTTTAAAAACAGTAAAATTTTGCCCTGGCTGGTGTGGCTCCGTTGGTTGGAGCATCGTCCTGTAGCTGAAAGGTTGCGGGGTTGGATTCTCGGTCCAGGTGCATATGGGAGGCAACAGATCGATGTTTCTCCCTCTCCCCTTCCTCTGTCTCTAAAAATCAGTGAAAAGATGTCCTTGTGTGAGGATAACATAAAAACAGTAAAATTTTAAGAAAAATTATACTAGAATACTTCTTAGTCATTGAAATGAAAGTGGATTTTAATCATGGCAGTCATATGCGGTAAAATAAAATAAAATGAGCCAGAGAAGACTGTATCAGTAAAATGTTATTAAAAAAAGACAAACTAAAGAAGGGAGTCGAAAGATTATCTGTGAAGAAAGCAGGGCACAAATAAGGATTTGCTTCCTTTCTTGGAAGTCCAAAGAAAAGAAATTGTACACTTTAACTTCAAATAGGATCAGAAAATTAGAAACAAGGATCAAGCTTTCAAGAAAATGTAGCTGATTTTATTAAATGTGAACAAGGTGTCACAACAAATAGATTACATAGAACTCCAAATGTCAAAGTTAAGAGTTTAAAGAATCAACTAAATATATAGAGACAGCAAAAATTGAGGAAAAAAATTAATCCATGAATTGCTGGTGCTCAAAATAAGGACAGAAGTAGGTGGCCAGGATTCAAATGTTGATGTGAACGTGGCAGTGCCCTTGGCTGCACCCCCGCCCCCCTGCGCCAGGGATCTGTCTCTTGTGTCAACAGTGTTTGGAGGGAACAGACCCAGGGACGCCCCTTCTTCCAGCCTCCGACCACCTCCGACCTCTTTTCTTGTCACTGCCTTCGCAACCACCTCAGCCATCCTCGGCCTCCAAGCCCAGCCAACACGGTGTTTTGACCTTCAGCTCCTTATTGCCGAGCAACCATGAGCTCCCCAATTCGTCAAAGTCCTCCACCCGGGTGGAGGCTGCTGTCACCCGCCTGGCCGCCCTGCGTCTGCGGGCCTCCCGCACCTACCTCTCTCTCTCTCTGGGCTTCCGTTTCCACCAGGACAATGCGGCTCTGAAGGCCACGGGCCACTTGCTCCCCGGGTTGGCGGAGAAGCAGCACGAGGGTGCTGGGCATCTCTTAAAAGATGCAAAACCAGCACGGTGGCCGCATTGTCTTTCAGGATGTGCTGAAGCTGTCCCAAGGTAAGGGGGGAGCTCAGGACACCAGGGAAGCCGCCTTGGCCTTGGAGAAGAATCTGACCCAGGCCCTCCTGGACCTGCAGGGCCTGGCTTCTGCCCTCACAGACCCTCCGCTCTGAGGCTTCCCAGAGGACTGCCTCATGGATGAGCAGGTGAAGCAAATCAAGAAGATGGGCAACACCTGCCTCCCCTCCGCCGGCTGGCCGGCCCCCAGGCTGGGCGAGTGTCTCTCGGAAACGCTCACCTCAAGCATGACTAGGAGATGTTGGAGCCCAGAGGCCTTTGAGGGGCCCCTCTGCATTTCCCTGGTGCCTGGCTTCTGCCTGAGCCTCTCTTGGCGACCACTGTGCATCCTTTTCGCCACCCTGGAGCCCTCTCCTGCGCATTGGACCAAATGGAAACCATAAAGCTTTTTTGCAGCAAAATGAAACAAAACAAGTGTTGCTGCAAATGCAGAATAAATGGAAGAAATCCATTAAAGGAAAAAAACAAAAATGAGTTCATCAACACTGAATAAACTGATAGAGGGAAAGAAAAGGGAATCACCAAATATTCATAAGTATGAAAGAAGTAATGACCCACTTCCTAAAAGGAAGAACGCAAGCAGCCCATCTGGTACTCTCAACCGTAGTGCAGTACTGGGTGTTTGCTGACCTGACTCTTTCCTGAGTCGTCACTGGAGACGTTTTACATGGAAAGCGTTGAATAGATATGTAAATTGAACCACAATAGCATTTATATCAAGTTTTGTAGCATTAAACTATATGACACACTGCAAAGCTTAAATGTGGAATGATTCAGTGATCCATCAATTTACCAGAATGACAATTACATACCTTCAATTTTGTTTGCTGAAAGATCCAACTTCTGTAGGTGAACATATCCGCAAAGGATGCTAATGTCGATTAAGTCTCGACCCTGAGAAAGGAAAAGGTAAAAGACTGGATGTTGCTTTAACAGGTTAGCACTTGGCGTTCTCGCAACATCTAGAAATAATACTTGACAAAAGAAATCCAGAATTTCTTTCGTAAAATAGAGCAGAAGTGAGAGGACAAAAATCTGAAGTCTACTACTAATAGGATCTCAAAACAGACTATATGCCCCATTAAAAAATGCACTCCTTTGAAAAAAATAATAGCTTAGAAAATTAGTGTTGTTAGCAAGAACAAATACAACACGAAAAGGCACATTAAAGCAGTGTCATGAAGCCCTTTAGAGCAGAGTTTGTTTTTTTATTAAAAACATGCAATAGCAATAAAGCCAAAGCCTTTATTTGGCTGAAGAAAAAGCAAACACTCAAAATTTAAATGAAATGTTAAAGAAAGTTCACACCTAATCAGGAGATCATTAATACTACCCATATTTTCACAGGGATCATCTTCAAATCTCTCCTACAATAACCTTCTCTGATCAAACAACCTGTGAGATCCCTGGGGCAGATGATTCCCAACTTAGAGACGAGGAATATGAGGTACAGGGAGAGGTTTGTAAATAGCCTAAAGTCACAGAACAGGTTAGCGATAGAGAAGCAGACCCAGATCTCCTGAATCTTTTTCTAACAACCTTTCCATGAAGTATTGCTTCTAGTGAATGTCAACAGGGGCTGAAGGGGCATTTGGTCCCTAGGAACACAGACTTTTATCACTGAGTCTCTATGTTGTGATATAAAGACTCGTGTTGTGATGTCACAGTCAGAAAAAGTCAACCACTGAAGCATGACTATAAGCAAGTTCTCAAATATAATCCTAACAGCATTTAACACAGGCCACTAGAACAGTAAAAAATAAATACTTACCGAAAACCTACTATGCACGAGGCATTGTGCTCAGCAGGATAAGATATACAGTAATGAAATAGAGACATAGTGTGCCCTTAAGGAAATTATGATTCTGGTAGGAGAGAAGCTACATACACAAGTAAGAAGAGAAAGTAAAAAATAACATGTCATAAAACCGAGATATAAGGGGGTGGGGGAAGCCACTAAACCAGGCGACCCTAAGAAAGTGTATTCAGTAAGACAGGTTATGAAGGCAAAGTAATTCCACATGTAATATCTCAGACGTAAGGAGGTCAGTGGCAAAGTAAGTTAAGCTTCAGTCCATCTAGCTGAAATAAGATTTAAAGAATTGCTTTTTTTGATAGATCAATTTAAGGCATAGCACTACATACATAAGTAGAATATTGATCGAAAGCGACTTGTGTGGGGATGTATTGGCTCATGGAATTACCTCCTATTCCAATGCCTTGCATGGTGCAATTCACAGAGGGCACTCCCTGTATGTTATTGCCTGACTGGCTGAGTCATCCATAAAATGTTATAAAGTGAAACCAGGAAAAGATTAGAGGCCTAATATGCTGTTCTCAAAGGACAGGCCGTGAAACCACTGTGGGTGAAAAAAACATATTGTTTCTTGGATTGTTTACTAGTTCAAATGCCAGACAGAACAGCCTTGCTCTGAATTTTACACACTTGAGCCACATTGGTGCCACCGCGAACATTTCCGTGTGTTTTTTTCGCCTGTGTATCTGCATTTACTCTGTAAATCTCCAAGAGATACTTAATGCTTTACAATATAAGAAAGCAAAAAGAGTTAAATTATTTTTCTAGGACTATAGAAAAACAAAATGGGAAAGAAGCTGGAGTAGTTTGAGGATTCTGCTTTTATGATAAAATTGGAGCCAAGACTCTGTGCTATACTCTGACTGGTATTGAATTCTTGAAAATTGATGAATAACAATACATTTTTTTCATTAATAATTGGTATCTTTAGGAAAGCAAGAGAGAGCTCAAAGCTACTCATTTCTTGACATACTTAGTGGGGAAAAGTCAATACCAAAATCCTTTGTTCCCTTGGATTCAGATACAAATTTTAGCCTGGCACTGATCAGAGAGAAAATTCTTAAGAAGTTTTTGATTAGTTTTACAGAATCAAATTCAACCTTCTGGAAAGAAGGCATTGATTGCTATAAAATAGACTACTTAAGATGAAAGAAATAGACTGTGAAGGGAATGAAAACAAAGGAATTTGAGGAGCTGATTATTGGACCAGCCAGGGCTCTTTGATGTCTAACATTTACATAAATAACTCTTATTGCTGGTCTCCATCCAACGCAAGACTCTGAGATTTGGAGCCCACAAAAGCTATGCGTACCAGAAAAAAATAGGTGTGGTCCAACCAGTGTCAAAGTGTAGCCAGACAACGGCAATATTGCCATACTCACCGATAAGCTTAGATTGAGGTAGACCTGCTCAGTCCCAGAACCTGAGCGCCCCAACTGGGACAGTGCCTCAGCCACCATGTCCTCTCTCAGGACCCCATCAAATTCGTCCTGCAAAAAAGAAACAAACACACCCAGGAGAGGCGGGCAAAGAGGACTTCCATTACAAAAGGAGCAAGCCATCTTGTCAGGTCCAGCACTTATTTAGTATATTACATCTCCAGGAGCTGAGCCCTCCAAAACTTACCAGCCCCGCCACAAAAAAACCTCTGTGTTGAAGACATACAGATTACGTACGGCTGAATCAGTAACTAGCAAATCGATGTTTTCATTGCTACTGGTTTTTCAGGAGGTCACTTGCAGGTGTTCAAGTGGAATGAACACAGAAGTAGGCACTTCGATGTTAATGGTGATATTTAAAGTGAGTGTGTCTCCTTTCTAACACCGTGCTAAGAGCTCTCCGTGGATAGACTCACTGAGTCCTCCTGACCACCCTCAGGTAGGCACTCTTAGCTCCACTTTACAGACAGTTGATTTGCCTGAAACCTCATAGCTAGTAGGTGGCAGAGCCAAAGCTACGAGAAGCCAAGCCCGTCCAACCCCAGGACGATTCTGACCTACACACTTGTCTGCCTGGCCACGCCTCGAAGGACAGGTACATCAAATCAAGGCCATGGCTTCCCTAAATCTGGTGTTCTTGCTGGGAAAAACAGGTCTTCAGTCAGCTTCCTGTTGGCTCATTTTGCTGGATTCATACACTTTACAAGAATTATTAAAAGGGTAATAATCATTTCCATAAAGAGGTTGTTGGCCTGCGGTGTGCAGACATCTGGGGACCGGGGTGGCCTCTCGTGCCCTTCCATCAGAAATGACAGAAAGAAGAGATAACAGGTGGATCAGAGCTAGGTTCGTGCTGCCTTCAACTCCATAGTTACCAACACATTAACACGGACACCAGCCCGAGGACACAAAACACAGAAGTCCCATCAGTCACACCAGTATAACTAAGCCTGACTAGCATGCGGACTATCATGACAAAACACATTTTTCAGGTTTTCTGTATTAATTCGGGAAACAACAATGCCACTCAAGCTGCTGGTACTAAGGACATTAATACAATATGTAAGCTTGTGCTTTATAAAGATTTTATTTCTCCTCAAAATTGCACCAACCCAGGGAAGCAAGTGTTGCTCACATGGAGCTGGTGCAGAGGCTTTGGGGCTGGGTTTGAACCCTGGGTCTGCCATTGTGGATGCATGACTTTGGGCAGAAAAAAGTTTTCTCTGTGCTTCATAGTCTTCATCTACAGGGTCCGGTGCAAAAAAACACCCCTTTTATACTACAAAATCTTTTATTACAAAATCTTAAGCATATAATTCTATAACATAACAATATCACACTCAAGCACACCATACACCATTTTAGGTGAAATGTTCAAATTAAAACTAAAAATTATTACACCCATATTATTACCCTACCAACAACCCTCAACCAGGCCTTACTTCTATCAGACCCTATAAAATAAGAAATATTATTACCTTCTCTTAATGTTTTGGGGAGAATGAAAAAAAAAATTGTCTATGTAGAGCTCTTAACACAATGGCTAGAATATAGCAGTGTCCCCATAAATGACAGTTGTTACTACTAGTTGAAATTCCACATCTCAATGTTTCATTCATCCATCCCAGTCAACCTGTTCAGAAGACGGGGGAGAGGTATTTACTTTTCTAAATAAAGTTCCAATTTCTTATAAAAGACCTGGGAAGGGATAGAGTTGGGGTGTTACCTTCCATCCAAAACTTTCCACTTACACTTCTGAAGTTTACCTGACCCAGCCCTTCCATTTCCTGGAGAAGAGAAGCCTTGCACCCCTTGCCTACATCAGGCAGATGTCTCTTTCTCAGGGTGGCCATTGGCACGAAGACCGGCCACACTGTCCACGTTTTCCCAGATTCCCAAGGCGCGATGCCCCATGCAGCCCCCTCACCCCTCCCTTGAGGTTCCTGCCATCTGTCAGCGCCACGCCCTTCCCTTCTGGTCTGTGGTCATTTTCAGCCCATTTATGCCCTAGCTCTATCTCAGGTGGCTTCAGCGTCCCCAGGGATGGCCACTCAGGGTCCCTACCACTCAAGCACATGCACACATTTCTTTATTTTCTCAACCTCAGATGCCTTACAATTGATCGCCACCCAACTTCCGCCATTCATTCTCATGGCCATGGCCTGGACCAGCCTGGTCATCGCGCTAAACTGCTCCCCCTAGAACTCTCAAAGCCCGGTGTTCCACTCCTCTCTAATCCCACAACTGCCTACCCTTCGACCTTTCTAGTACCCACTGAACTTGTTCATGGACCCCAGCAGAATCTCCAGTCTGTTCATCCTTCCCTTTCTCAGAGGCTACCTGTCCCCTCCTGACTATACTTCTTTCCCTACTGAGAATCCCAAGAGCAATTTCAACGTCCCCACTCTCGTGTCTCTGACTTTTTGCAACTCTGATTGCAACTACCACATGCGTACACAAACCTGAACCAGGTTCACAATCAAGCACTGTTCTGGAACTGAGTCATGTTTCTCACATGCCAGACAAGTACACACGCAACTTCAGGATAAATTTGCTAAATATTACAATGGAGCTAAGCAGGGTGCTTTGACTATAAATAGGGCACCCTTTTTGTCAGTTCTACAGAGGTGCAGCAGCATAGCAGAGGCCTCCTTGGGGAGAAAGCGATTCAGTTGAGACCCAAAGTTGTATGTCATTCTGGAAAAGTGGAAGAAAGGACAGGAAAGAGGACAAAGGAGGGTATTGCAGGCAGTAGGGGAAACATACAAAATCTCAAAGGCAAAGGTGAGCATGGCCTCTTGGGAGAACACTACAAAGAGTTCCATCTGGCTGACGCATAAAGTGGGAAGGGCGGAATTCAGTGCCTAGCACATATAGGGGAACGAATGGACGAACCCACTCTCCCTCCAAACTGCCGAATGGGCCCCACACCCATGCATTCTGGTGCCGCTCTGAAGTCAGCTGGCCGCTGGGTCTTGGTGCCGGTCTCCCATTATTCATCAGCTGCTTTCAACCCCCCTCCCGGCCTGGTCAGCTCTCCATCCCTCTCCTCAGACTGTCCAGTGCCTCCACTCGTTTGTCCTCACTCTCAGCAGATGCTCCTCTCTTCTGCTTTTGAGCCAAAGTAGAAACGATCAGACACTAACCCCCTCAACGTTCTGCCCCTGCCCTGACGCTTCTCCGCACTCAGGGCCCCACTCCCTCTCTTCCTTCAGAGACCTCGCTCACAGGCTGTCAATTTTGCCCTCTTTGGCCTGCGGTTTCAATCAGTCACTCTCCTGTCACTCTCCAGCTATACAAGTTGTGAGTCTCCTCTGTCCTAAAAGGGTCCCCTTCAGTCCTGCACGTTCCCTTATCTGTAGCTGTCATGTCCATTAATAACCAAGCTCCGCCCAAGTTGCTTTTTTTATCCTTTAGTTCCCCGTCCTCACCTCCGATTCACTCTTCCACTCACTACAGTTAGGCTCTCCCTTCGCCACATCTCAAAGTCACATGGGCCTAGGTCCCCAGTGACCCTCAGGTAGGCAAAGCTAATAAGCATTTTTTAGGCCTCTTGCCACTTAACATATTGGTAGCAAAGCTATTCACATGTTCTCAAGACTCTTCCTTCCCTTGGCTTCCCTATCATACAGCTCTTCTTTCTGGTACTTCTCTTACCGGTCCTTTCCAGTCTCGTTCCCTAAATCCTCCTCATCGGCTGGCTACCTGTACCCCAGGTTCCAGTCCTGGCCCTGCTTTCCTCTCCTCTTCCTGGCTGATGGCACAGCTGCCAACGCTGACGGTTCCTAGGTCTTCTACCTCTGAGAGCCTCTCCCCTGATTTCAGTCGCAGCTCCTTGCTGCGCAGCTACACCTGTTCCTCTCTCTCACTGCGGTTAGTGGCCTTAAGAGCCCCCTCTCCAGACCACGCCACAGACCCAGCAGTCAGCCCAGACTTCTAATATTCAGTTAGGGACTGTCCCATCTCAAGCACTGCACTTGTTTTCGTCTTTCACTGCCTTTCCGTTTCCACTTCCACTGCCTTAATCCAGGCGGTCTCTCCTCCATAACTACTTCTAGAGTATTCTCACTGACCTCCCTGCTCCTAATCTAACCCCACGGCCACTGGAGATCCAAGTCCGGAGTCCGCACAACGGCACAGAGCCTTTCACAACCTGGCCCCGCCTCAGCTGCTTTTCCGGCTGTCAGCCGGCCCGCACGCCACCTCTCCACCCAGACAAGGGTGTACTTTCCTTAGAGACCTCGATGATCCCTGTACCTCAGGTATCATCTGTACATAGCTGTGTATCTAATACTTCACATAATGAATCGCTACGATTCACTCACACTCTTACCTCACCTTGGGAGGGACCGCGTATGTCCCCAATCATGTTCTCACCGTCGTCTATCATTATTGTTGCTATGATGGAATATTGAAGATCTACCAGTTTTTAAGAGCCTACTCTACATCAGACACCATATTAAGAACTTCAACATAGTTTCGTATTAAATTCAATGTTTATACCTATCCAATGAGTAGGCATTATTACCCACATTAGTTACTGGCAAAGAGTGGTTTTCATGAGCAGATGCATATAATGGGCCCAGACACTTCTTTTGCCCCATATAGTCGAAGAGAGCTTCCTACACAGCAATTGTTCAAGGACTGTTTGTTCAATGAAGGCTAAATTAATCAAATCACTTCATGGGCTGTTGTAGCAGATGAAAGCATGGAAGTTATTATTTATATTAGTTATAGTATAAATAATATATTATGCTAAGTATTTTACATATAGAATCTCATTTAATTTTCACAACTCTCCTATGAGGTAGGTATTATTATAATTCCCATATTGCAGATGAGACAAAGAGGTAAAGTAACACGCTCAACATCACCCCGCTAACAAAAGGCTTTCTGGGAACCGAAGACTGTTTTGAACAGCTGGTCTGCACCACCTCCTGTAAGTTCACGAGGCCTTCGGAGGGCTGGGCCTAATCGCATTCCAGGCATTCAGTAATCGCTGGGACCCTCATGGCCTTAGAAGCCTTAACTCAGTTGATATACGGAAAATAAATCACTGAGCATAAAAGTTCAAACGCTTCCTTTTCAACTTTAGTTAATTCAGTACGTTAAAACTTATGAGGTACTATAAAAAGCTGAAGTGGAATGTGAAAGCACAAAACAAATATGAATATTTAGAATGTATGTGGGAGAACTAACAAACTTTTCTTACATACACCCTATGAGCCAAAGAGGAAAAACTAGTTCGAGGCACCCTCCTCTATGGTTTGTTGGCTAATGGCACACTGAAGACAGATGAACAATGCTGCTAATGAACCCCATACCTTAAGAGCATGCATTAATTGGAATAATGAAGTGAACTGGTGATTCATCTGTGAATTCCTCTGGGGTGGAAGCTGGTGGTAACCACACAAACATCTCCAAATTGTAAAAACACTGCTACGGTTTTGCAACAGTCACCGTTAAGGGTTGGAAAAGAAATCACACGATGAACAAATTAGGAATAATTTCCTATCATCCACTTTAAGCAAAACTAATGTGTAACTAGCCCATGTAGAAGGAGGTAGAAGAAGAGGAAAGACAAAATAGAGGGGGCAAAAAATGGGTCAAATGTTGAAAGTGAACAAAAGGACATTGCAAAAGAAGGGAACCCAAGTGGGGCAAGGTGTAAGTGGTTAATGGTAGAATCTGAGTAACAGAAGACAATGCAAGTTACTGAGGGGAGAATAAAAGAAAGGAGACTAATACGGAAAAGAGCTTGTGAAAGAGAATGGGCATAACACAGAGAAACGAGCTTGGCTTCAAGGAAGACAGGCGACCGGGAAAGGGTGCAAAGTTGCTAAAGGAGGAAGCCAGAGACTATCACAGAGTGAGGACCTTGGAAACATGCTGTCTCTCTGCATCATGTCTCCTTCTGAAAAGAATTTGAGGCAACTTATATTCCAAGGAAGAGGAAAGAGGAGAGAAGAACCGATCTAAAGAAAAAACTATTGAAATATAGAAAAAATATTGTTTTGAGTTTTCTGGAAGCAGGACAAAGGGGAAAAAAACCTAACAGTGTATTGAAAAGAAGCAAATCAACTGGTTTTTGAAAGAAAACAAATAATGTATTAGAAGGCAAGAGAAGAAAGTGATGTGATGAGAAGTAGAAAGGACAGAAGACAGGCGATGGGTTAAGAAAGAAACAAGATGATAATAAGTGTAAGGAAGAAGGACTGGGGCTGTGGTTAGAAGAGGTATTGCATTAATGTGAAAGGCAAAGCCACTACCCCAGGCAACATAGATGGGAATGTTGGGAACATTCTCTACATCCTAAAATATGTCTACAGGCCGGGGGGTGGGGGGGGCGGGGGAGGGTGTGTGTGTGTGTGTGTGTGTGTGTGTGTGTGTGTGTGTGTTGCTTGATAATGTATCATATATCCTTGGCAGAGGTAATATATTAAACTTTTAAGTCAGTGTTTGAGGAAGCACTTCTCAAATTATTTGAAAAAAGTAAAACTTTTCCCTAGAGCTAAGGGTTTGGAGGGACTAGAAGTGGGGAGAGCATTGGAGCACTTCAGCATCGTGGGGAAAAGGTGCAGGAGATGTCAGAGACGAGCTGTGCCTATTCACAACATTGTCGAGCTATCATTTGGACGAGGCTGAAGTCACGAGTCCCATACAGATAGATTGATTTTTTTTTCATAACTTGACTTCTGCATAACTTGACTCCTAAGAAACCAAATGAGCTACTGAAAAATAAAGGAGATACCTGGAAATATTTCAACAAGAAAAGAGAGGGAGCCTTGAGGCAGTGGGGAAGGGGCACCCCTGGAGGCGAAAGCCCAGGGAATGGGCTAAGCCACAGGCTGCTGAGGGGTATCTCGGGGGGCTGCCGCTCAAGTGGCAGGGCCCCACGGCTGGAGCAAAGAGCCAGGGGGTGAGGGACCGGGGCGGGGGAAGCGCACCTCCAAATTCAGCATTTCGGACTCTGAGGACTCCTTGGACTCCACTTCGTCCTTCCCCTCGCTACCCTCGTCCTCGTCCTTGTCCTCCTTTTCGTCTGCGTCCGCCTCCTGACCCGGGTGAATGAGCTGCCGGAGCAGGTGGGAGGAGGAGGCTCTGTAAGTAATGTTCGGCCTCCGCCCCATGGGGAATGAAGACCAGCGCTGATTTTCTGGGCGCAACAGGATTGACTGGGCTCCAGTTCGTGAACTGCTCAGGGTTCCCTGGAGGGAGCTAGGCTTTGGCCACTGGGGACCTCCACCGGAGGTCGCCATCTTGTTTACCTGGGTTGCCTAGGAGAGTAACACAAGGGGCGGATGTTCCGCAGAGGATTCTGGGGGCTGTAGTCTTCTCCTCTCCCGAGTCCTCGCTTTCAGACAACTGCACCGCTGGCGCGAGACTTCCCCTTTGTTTTTGTCTGCTTCTTTTTTTTGGGAGGGGCGGGGGATTTTTTTTCTCTCTCTTTAGTCCATTCAATCTCTGGCTTTTTTTCTTTTTGCTTGTCTTTCTCGTTTCCCCCTCTTTTCCCCCTGCATCCCTTCTCCTCGTGCCCAGCTGTCTGTTTTTTTTGGACCTCAATGCCCTTTCTTGGAGATTCTTCATCGCACCATAAGATCACCGTGAGCACCCATCCTGTTTAATTCACCAAAGCACTTTTCATATAGTCGTACTTCGAAAGTGTTAGATGTCTATGCAGAGCGCGGTGGTGTAAACAAAATAAAAGGCATGACTCCTGACCTTTTGGTTTAATTGCAGGTAATAAAGAGAGACTACTGGACAAAATTGAAAGCTGATTTGCAATTAATTAACATTCCCCCCCACCCTGGACATGATAAGCCATATCGTTGGGGAGAAAAGTTGGCAGTGGTCGAACAAGCCAGAGAGAGAGAGGGAGAGACAGAGAAATTGTGGAGAAATTGTCAAATCGACACTTGATCGGAAAGCTTCTGAAGAGCTATTAGCATCCCATAAATAATTGTATTAGTCAAGTGACCTGCATTGGTAATTATTTTTGTCTTTTTGCATAGGGTTCTCTTTGCAGTTTTATAAAATACTTCTGCAACATTACAAAGCATGATTTTATGCTGGTGCAATTGTACGTGGCCCAGATCCCATAGCCTTAAGCTCCACAAAGTAGACACTCTATAGAAAAGCAGAATGAAAATTACAACGACTATGATAGTCCTAGTGATGACAATAGAGATCCTTCCAGGGAAGTCGTCCTCGTCCTCCTGGCCCACAGGGCCTTCTCTCCCTGCTTCAGTGACAGCAGTTACAAATACAAAATGATCCTGTCAGTGGCTGTTGAGGAGGGGAAAAACCCTGTCGCCGCCATCCACTGACTATTATCTTTCTCAGTGCCTGAGGGACCGTTAAAAGTGATGTAAAGCTTTCAAAATTACCTTCCTTCATTATCTTGCTAGTCATAAATGTAAAGGCCACAGTGAAAGTATCTCTTTCCACTGGACTTGTCTTGCAGCTTACTCCTTTTCCAGTGGGTGTAGACTCCCCACCTTTACCCCCCAGGACCTGGTTCTAGCTAACTGACAAAGGGAAGAGGGAGGCAGAATCTATAAAAATGGAAACCCAGTAGGTTTTTTTTTTTCCAATAACTTAATCAGAATTTCTAGCAAAGCAAGTTTTGACAATGTCCCTCTCTTCAGGAACGTGTCTTCAGGCAGTCAGTTAGGACCTGTCAAGGGATAATTTTCAAAGAGTTAAATACATGCTTCTCACACCAAAACAAGAATGAAACATCGGTGATTAAATTCAACTCATTAATTAGTAAGGTCACCAGTAACATAGTAACAGGGTATCCCTAATCCACAAAGAGACACACCCTGAAATAAGTTCATTAAGAGATAAAACTGGTTAATGCTTTTCTGGTCATTAAACTATAGTCTTTGGGGTTATATATTTCCAAGTGCTTTGTCTCCTTTCATCTTCACATCTACCCTTTGTCTATAACCCACTTGACAGATGAGGTAACTGAGGCCCAGAGAAGTTAAATAACTGGCCCAAAGTCAAGCACTGGTGTGGACATCCAAACCTAGAGCGACCAATTCCATAGTCCACTTTCAACAACCACTTCTGCAGGTAGAAAATGTGAGGTAAGAGAAGTCTACACAAAATGTCTCCAAAGAAAAATCATGTATCAGTTAAGGTTCTTAAGTATCAGTAAAAGAAGTCATTGAGAGAATAACCCTTCATATAGATTCAAAGCATTTCCGAGCTAGAAAGAACTTCAAAACCCACCTTATCCCAACTTTTCTTTTTACGAAGGAAGAAATGGATGGCCCTCCAGAGACGATAGCTGCTCCCAAACCACCTGACTTGTTAGCAGCTGAGCAGGAATTAGAATCTAAACCTCTCATTGCTCCATCTTGCTCTTGCTAGTTCACCAAAATGCTTCCCTGGCTGAACTTTTATCAATAGAATCACTACTTTGGGATTCTGGGCATTACAACTGAGGGTGCTGTTTCTCTAAAAGTTATTTTACCGGATAGAGAATACAGAATTAGGCAAAGGGAGAGGAGGTGAGGGGAGGGAATAGTCTGTCTAAACTCTTCCCATAAGCACAAAACGTCAATAATCACTTTCATTTATTCATTGCTTGTTGTAAATCTATGCTAACTGCCATGTAAATATCTCAATTAAGTTCTCCAACTGCTCTCTGAAATAGGAACTGATGCCCCCATTTTACAAAGGAGAAGAACGAGGCTGGAAAATGCTAGCAAATTGCCCAGACACTATTTGTGTCCAGATCAAAACTCCAACTCGGGTCTTTCTAGATTCAAAGCCTCTGAACTTAACCACTATACTTTATTTTCTCTCCAAGTCTGAATTACTTTCTCAGGGAGTACGTGTGTGGTACAGAGAGCCTGGACCTGGTGAGATACTGAAAATGTTAGCGTTGGTGGGGGCAGGTTTCTGGGGCCAGGAGAGTGGAGTACGGTGGGCAGTGGCAGTGACGTACAGCAACCCAGGGGAGCAGGGGCTTCTCAGAAAGCTCGGAGTCCTTACCTAGTGAGGCGAGAGGAGAGAGAAAGTGCAAGAGTCTCGCCATGACACCCAAGAGCCCCTGTCTGAGAGGACATCCAGGACAGGCTGCTGAGAGAGTCAAAGGAATAAAGAGTTTAAGCTTGAGCTCTGGCTGGCGTGACTCAGTAGACTGAGTGTCAGCCTGCAAACCGGAAGGTCACTGGTTTGATTCCCAGTCAGGACATATGCCTGGGACGTGGGCCAGGTCCTCAGCTGGGGGGGTGTGAGAGGCAACCAATTGATGTATGTCTCACACATCGATGTTTCTCTCCCTCTCTTTCTCCATCCCTTACCTTCTCTCTAAAAGGAAATAAATTTAAAAAAAAAAAGAATTTAAGTTTGAAAGAGGGTGCCAATTACCAGCCTCAGCGACTTGGTAGCTTTGCCCCAGAAGTATTATTTACCCTTCCCCCTACCCTTTCAGATCGGTGTCCACCTACCTGGGCCAGCACGCTGACATTAGACCTTACTCATTGAGAATAGAAAGAAGAGGCAGGGACGGACCCCTGTCTTCTGTATTTGGAAAAACAGTCTTCCCGGGAGTGTAGACCTTGGGCAAAGCAAAAGAAGTGCCGTCCTATCCCTTTCACCTCCCTGTACCTCCCCCCAACTGTGTGTGAAGGAAGATAGGATGTGATGGCAGCATCTCAAACTCGCGATGTTTTCTGCGGAACGCTACACCCTGTGCAGAATGCCTTGAAGTTGGGAGAGCAGACAGGTCGTGGAAGGCGCCACCGAAATAACAACAACAATGAAGACACAACCACAACTGCTATTTATGAGTAATTTCTACGTTCCAGGCATCTTACTGTGTGCTTCACATATATCAACTCATTTTAGTCCTATGTGGATCCTGCAAGGTAGAGATTAATCTTATTATCCCCATATGATAGATGAAGAAAGAGAGGCATCAATAGATTATGTACCCACTCAAGCCACTTTGGCACACAATGGCAAAGCTTGGACGCAAATAGGGAGCCTGGTTTTCCAGCCCACATCCTAAATCAAAACACGGTACTATCGCGTTGATGCTTTAATAAAACTTTATGGAGGATGTTGACTGAACTATTGTGTTCCATGCCTGTTGCCAAATGCGTATGTTGTACTCTAACCCCCAATGTGGTGGTATGAGGAGGTGGGGCCCCTGGGGGTGATTGGATCATGAGGGTGGAGCCCTCAGGAATGGGATTAGAAGAGGCCAGAGCTGCACTCTGTTTTCTGCCCTGTGAACACACAGGGAGGAGGTGGCAGTCTTCCCTGAACCTGAACCTAGCACCCTGATCTTAGCCTTCCAGCTTCTGGAACTGTGAGATGTGCATTTCTGCTGTTTGTAATCCACCCAGCCCATAGTACTGTGCTCTATAGCAACCCAAATGGACTGAGACAGAGGAGAACCTTAACTTCAATGTAGTTTAATGCATTAATGTCATAGGCATTCGTGTTTTGTTATTTCTTCCTAGGAGGGAGGGATGTTTCTTCATAAGGCAGTTTATTATCTAATAACAGCCTGGTGGATCTATAGACGTTGAATAAATAGTGACACAAATCATCATTTAATTCTAATTGCTATAAGGGCTAAGGAGGGAAAATACAGGAGCCAGGAGAACATCACCGGGGCCTTGCCCCAATGTGGTGGGAAGGGTTCTTCAAAATATCAGAGAGACACTTTGAGCCTCATGATGATTATCGAAAGAAGTTGGGAAGAGACAGTACAACGCTGAGGAACTTTATTTGTTATCATTACAGAAATCAGCTATATTCAAATAATGATGGTAATAATTAATTGGACTGGAAGAGCCTGATAAAGCCCAGGCAGGACTTAACTGAGTCAAGTAACCTGTTCCAAGCAGATATCAAAGGCATTTTACAGGGTTGGGGTCGGGGGGTGCCCCCACTAACAGATACCCTGGATCAGACACTGGTGTTGAGATCAAAATTACAAATTGTAGTCTCAGAAGAGATCATCTGAAAAGCTCATTGACAAAGGTAGAAAAGTCAAGAAGAATTGTTTGCAAAGGAATTGCAAGCACCAAGTCAGGAACAAAATCTGAACAGAGGACTAGATATGGATTACTGAGAATTTTTAGCTCAGATTACCTTCCCAGACAGAAGGGGAGTTTCATCAGAGGAGTCACAAAGTGAGATCAAAACGACTAAAATGTTCAAATGATGACCAAAAAGGACTGTATGAAATATTCTGGGAGAGGCGATAAGAACTTGAGGATGTTATGCT